GGCAAACACAGAAAAGGCAACAGCTTCTGGCATTGCCTGTCTGATAAGCCAGTGAGTGTGGTTTCTATACCCTGTAAAGAGTTTGAGAGAGGCATGACAGACTAAGGATGTTGAAGCTCAAAGCTTGGCTAAATATTTGTAATATTTATAGAGGCCTAGGAGGTGGTGTAGGAGGTATAGAAGGAGAAATTGAAGGAGGTATAGTAGAAAGAATAGTAAGAGATATAGTAGAAGGTAGAAGTAGGAGATATAATAAGAAGAATAAGAGGAGGTATAACATTAGTTATTGCATAATATTAACTATCTTTATCTTTATCTGATATTTTGCTTAACATAAGAAGACCAAGTGTAGCTATAGCGTTACATAGGTTAATCTACAGGATATCTGTACGTTAATCAAGCCCCTTTTTGGTACTCTATCATGTCGGCCTTTGTCTTTTTGGCCCTTTGCTTGGGCATAGTTTAATTGTAGCGCGTGTCGGAGCTGTCTAAATGGGGCAGCCGCTGAGACAGAAGCAATAGCAGGCGGGGCACAGGCAGTGCCATGGGCTGTAGCAGAGGTTGCGGCGTGGTTAGAGCAACCTTGAGGCAGAGGTAAGGGCAATTAGTTGAACTACGCCCTGGGGAATTGCGATAATTAAAATGCTGCTGTATGCCGCAATATTTTTTAGCTGCCATATCAGACTAATCAGATTGCTCCTATTTCAAAGCAGTCAACCTTTCTTTGGCATATACCAACCACACACACACACACACACACACACACACACACGCACGCACAGTGGCACACTCATACTGTCACACACACGCACGCTGTGGGTAAATCAACATTTGCGTTTAATTTGATGGTAAAAAGCACTTTAATTTAGTTGCCAAAGCCATCGAGCCAACATCAACAGCCAACAGTCCGCAGGATTAGAATCCTATTAATTCAAATTCAAAGCGAATGCCAAATTGATTGCCAACAGTCGTTTTTTTTGCCGATTTGCTCTTCAAGCTGTTCTTTTTGTTACCAAAAAAATAAAGGAAAAAAAACAGCTTGCATTGTTTTCATAGAAAAATATTTTTCGCAACTATTTTATGGACGGAACGTGCGAAGCGACGTCTTTTGTTGCTCTCCTCCGGCTCGTTGGGATTTCTTTGACGGCAGCTCCTGGATTGCCACCTGGACTTGCATTCTCATTTGAATGGCTGCTGTGAGTGTTTGATTTCGATTATTACGATTCACTCACAATTGCAATTTCCAAGGCACCGCATCGAAGGCAGCAGCAGCCAAATTGAAGCTCTTATCGAATGGCTTTAATTCGGCTTGGCTTCAAGTTCGTGGCCACAAGCAATTTAATTGTTATCTAGTCTTGGCAGAGCTGGCATTTAGTACTATTTGCAAGGGTAGTTAGAGTACTTGCGACTAAGAAAATATTCATTAATGGCTGAACTGAGATAGAAAATAAAAATATTTTTATTTTCAAAAATTAAATTAAAAATACATTGGGAAAACAGATTTTTAAAACATATGTTAAAAATATACAATGAAAAAAAATAAATAAAATAAAATTTATTTTTTATTGGTAAAAAATATATAGAAAATATATAATAATAAAATATTTTAAAAATATAGAAAAACCTTTTGAAAACTATAGAAAAATAGTTTGAAAAATATAAAATAAAATATGTATTTAATTAAAGCTTATACAAATGAAAAAAAATATATATAAAAAAATGTAAAATACAGAAAAAATATATAAAAAAAGAACTAAAAATAAATGTTCAAAATAAATAAAAGTATTAAAGTAGAAAATTTGATAAGCTGCCCTCGTATTGAAATTTTTATATAGCACCTCAGTACTCAATACAGTTACTATTTTAATAAAAAAAATATTTAAAAAATAGAATCATAAATCTATTCTCAATTTATGCATATTTAAATACAATATTGAAACTATTATTATATTTATAACAATTCTCTTATAGACGTTACCCATCTATATATGAAGAAACAGTAAATGTCGTAAGTTAAGTCTGTAATTATGGATTTGCTATTGTTGCCTCTTTGCAACAAAAACTTCATCAATTGTTTGCGCTGTGCTTATTTGGAAAATTTAAAAACTATTTTTTTTTTTGTTTTCTTTGGATGCGCAGCTGGCAGCAACTTTCAATTTGGCGAACGGCAAAAGTCGTTGTCTCAAAAAAAAAAAAAGAAAATAGCTTAAAAACTCGAGCAAAGAAAATGTTGGCGGAAAAAGTGTTTGGCAAATTTGTGTTTCTGCTCGCAGTTTGTTTTTCTTGCAGCAGCTTTGAGCCACATGTGTGTGCGAGCATCGTGAAAGGCAAATTGTTAAGCCTCGAGCAAACAAGGGTGACAAGCAAAGGGTATACAGAGTGCACAGAGCACATCAGCAGTAGAAATCAATGTGAGCTACAATTGAGGCAAAAAAATGTATCGAGACTTGAAGAGTGGAAGCAAATTGATGTCAGCAAGAGAAATAATAGTAGATAATCTAAAATGGAGATAGAGATAGAGATAGAGATAGAGATAGAGATAGAGATAGAGATAGAGATAGAGATAGAGATAGAGATAGAGATAGAGATAGAGATAGAGATAGAGATAGAGATAGAGATAGAGATAGAGATAGAGATAGAGATAGAGATAGAGATAGAGATAGAGATAGAGATAGAGATAGAGATAGAGATAGAGATAGAGATAGAGATAGAGATAGAGATAGAGATAGAGATAGAGATAGAGATAGAGATAGAGATAGAGATAGAGATAGAGATAGAGATAGAGATAGAGATAGAGATAGAGATAGAGATAGAGATAGAGATAGAGATAGAGATAGAGATAGAGATAGAGATAGAGATAGAGATAGAGATAGAGATAGAGATAGAGATAGAGATAGAGAGGGGGCATCATTAGTGTCTAGTCTCAGGCCAAGCAATAGATGCAGATACTTTTTGAACACACCTCGTTATACATTTTGTTGACATATTGGAAATATGAAGAGAAATAAAACCAGAGTCTCAAAGTCTTTACGTATTACAATTTTTCATTTTTATTTGATATATTCGAAGACTTCGTGCATAATTCGCTCCGTATAAAGTGTAGAAAAGTGAGCACAGCTAACGTTAGGACTAAGCTACATAATCAAATTACTCATATATGCACATATATATCTATTTATATATGTACTTGACAAATGGTATATATATGTATGTGTTCATATTGAATGTTTCATACTTAAAACAGTATTTCATTTAATTTTGGCCAGAGTTGAGTAGATAAACCGCAATTAAATATATAACAGAAACAAATGGCATACAGTTTGAGATGCACTTTACAAACTAATAATATACATATGTGTAAATGTATGTCTGTTTGTGTGTGTGTGTGTGTCTATAAATTCATATGATAAACTTTTATAAATATTTCTTTGTGACTAACTCAAATTCGTTGGTTTATGTCTGGTTTTTTGGTCTCATTGTATTGTGCTGTGTGTGAGAGTGTGTGCGTGTGTGTGTATGTTGTATTTACATAAATAAATAAACTACATACCTAAATGAAGTTTAACAAAGCATATGACATAATAAATGTAACTACTAACTGTTGGCTACAACTCTTCAAAGTTATGCAGGAAACCCGTGTGTGTGTATTATTTATATAAGTTCTTCCAAAAAAGTTTTAAAAGTATTTTATCCATTTGGTTCACGTCTTTCTGTGTGTGTGTGTGTGTGTGTGGGCAGCATCAAAAGGAAGCTTCCTGCACACTCAGCTTCGGCTGTCACTTTCACTTTTCCTGCTTCATCTAGACTAGCGGCGTTGGCGACAGCGTGGCACGTGTTGTTGTTCTGGTTGGTGATTTTGTGGGCGTGGCTGCACCACTGCTGCCGCTGCTGTGCTCCACTAAGCCGCTGCCATGCAATCGAAACAGCTCGCCCACCGTAATGGACACCTGGACGGCACCTTTGCCCTCAAGCACATCGGCTGCGCAGCAAATTAGATTCTGTGTGCAAAAAAAAAATTTGTTTCAATTATTAATAAAAACACAAAAATCCACAGCAAAGTTAAGTTACATCAAACGACTTCTAGCACAAGCATAATCAACGGTTTGGCCGTCACTGTGTCGGGGTGCGTGTCTTGGCTAAGGCAACAGTTGCAATCAAACTGCGCAAGCACTGTGGGCATAGAAACTAGTTTTGCTTTTCATATATTTTTTATATTTCATTTATATATATATATATGTGTGTATATATATATGTACTTCTTTGACATTTGCGCATGGTTCTTGTTTATGCTTACAATAAATGCATTTGGTTTAAAGAATAAATGGAAGTTTTGCTCCACTGTGCAGTGTATATATAGAGAATTTCCTAGAATAAATGCAACTTTGCTTGTTGTTTGGCTTCATTATACATATCAAAAATGTTTCACTGTATCTCATAAATATATGGATTATAATTTCTTTATAATTTTTTGATTGTTTTCCTTTGCGTTTACAGTGTTGGAAAAGTTCTTATGAATATATATATATATATAGGGCATAGCTTGTCTTTGTTAAATGTTGTTTATAAAAATTAAAGACTATTACTAAATTTATTATATATATAAATATAAATTGTTTTTTTTTTGCATTTCTTATAGCTGCCTGAATGTTTATATATCTTCCTCTTTTTGGGGTTTCGCTTCCAATTTTGTTAGACAAAATATAAATATGTTTGTTTGTTTTAAGTACTTGATAACTAATTTTAAATAACTATTCAAGTTTTCGAGTGTGCGTTTCTTTTAGAAATTTGATTAGCCTTTCATCGAGAGTTTCGTTAAGTACTTATGCACTATATAAGCTTACATATATGTATGTATATAAATTTTAGTTAAATTATATCGATATAGTTAGGAATGTTATATATAGTTATTTTGTTTTCCATTTTAGTTATAAATAATACAGTTATAGTCATCGGGAAAAGAGAGTTCACTCATAAAATACAAATAATGTGTGTCTTGGCAACAAAATCGAGAAATATTGCTTGTGTGCGTGTTGTATATATGTATAAATATGTAGAGTTATATATAGCTGATTCTGACTGTCTATATTTGTACAGTCAAAGGCACTATTTGTGTCAAATTGTAGATGAGAATTGCTGTGCGTTGAATAGACTGTTCAAAAGATTGTGCTTTCGAGTATGCATATATATTGTTGATCTTTGTTGAAGTTGAATTGAATTGTTATCTATATAATTAACTACGATGGTAGTTCGAAAAAAACTAATTGATTGATCCTTAAACTGCCCTCGCATTGTGCTGATGCTTTCCAATTGTTTTCTATATCATTTATATCTATTTCACGATTGGTTTTTTACAAACTATTTTGTGTCCCTGCTTTCAGTTAAAACCGTACAACGCAACGCCTGTTCCAATAACAACAATCCGTATATGTATTATATAACTATCTATATCCTTCCATCCTAACTGTTAAACACACCTCTCTACTTTCTACTTAGTTCAACTAACAAACGGATCGCAAATCAAGTTTTTTTTTAGTTTCGTTGTAACTTATCAATTAGGAATAGGCATAGCTTTTGGCTTCTATATATATATATATAATGGATATAGTTTTTAAATGAAAATAATGTATATGATGAACTGTTTTATAATGTGGTTGGTATATAGGTTTATGGGAATACCCTCAATATAGGTTTTGGCTTTACACTTTATAGTATACATAGTCATGAATGCTTAGAAATCTCACAGGATAGCAAATACATATAGTAAAATATGTACTTTTGAAATGATAATGATGAAACTGGATGTTTTATAATCTCACGTATGTAAATCATACATAAATCTCACAGGATAGCAAATACAATTTGTGGGAATACCCGCAATGTTTCTTGTAGTACACAAAGTCTTTGGGTTTATGGAATTAACAACTAGGTTTTTGCGTAATACTTAAAAGCAGCCTCAAGAACTCCAACTACGAGAGTTAAATGTGTAAATGTTTTTCTGATTAGTACAAAGCGCCATAAAAGCTGTCTTAAAACTATTGGCAATACATAAAGGCAGTGGCAGCTATATAGACTATATAACTACTATATGTGCTAGCCGGGCAATGGAAAGAAGACGAGCCACAGGAAGGTGACTATGAAAACGCACGACAATATGATCGTCAGTGTGTGGGAATCGTGCTTTAGCAACGAAGTTCCAGCTTCGTGTTGCTTCAGCTGCTTCAGTTGCGACTGCTGTTCATCAATGCGATAGATGCTGAAGACCTCCAGCTTGGGCTGCTGCTCGAAGAACTCAATGCGCTTGGCAAGAGATTTCACTGTGGACTGCTGCTTCTCCTCCTTTGGCTGTTGCTGTTGCTGCTGCTGCTGCTGTTGTTGATGCTGCTGCTGCTGTTGTTGATGCTGCTGCTGCTGCTGCTTCTCGTCAATTAGATGATAGTGGCCAGCCGGTCCAGCGGCGGCCACATCGTGTTCGCTTTCGATAATCGTTTGCAGCATGCGATTGTTGTTGTTCAATTGAAAACTATTTTGGCCATGGGCATTCCATAGATTGTGCTTGATCTTCTCGTAGGTCTTCAGTTTGGCTGTGCGCAGCAGCTGACCCATTGCACCCAGTTGCTGTTGCTTTGGCGGCTCATACAGCATACAAGTTGCTGTTGTTAGTGTTACATCATCATCAGACATATGCGCTTCCACACAATTCTCATACATAACATTATCTAGTTGCTGCAACATCTGTTCTGGCTGTTTGGTGCAGGAGTTTGGTGCTTGCTCTGGCTGTGGCTGTTGCTCTTGCTCTTGCTGCAGCTGTTGCAGTTTTAGCTGCAACTGTTCCTGCTGTTGCAGGCAGCGCATATGCTGATGATGTGGATTCGCATCGAGAGCTATCAAAGCGGCCACTGTGCGCAGTAGGGCAACTGCATTTGGCACTTGTTGCCGCCCAGCAATAGTATCAATGTTATTGTTGTTGCTGCTGCTACTACCGCTGCTGCTGTTGCTCTTTCTGTTGTTGTAGCTGCTGTCTTTATCATTGACATATACATCAGTGTCATAGTCATCATCAGCGCGTGGTTGTTCGTTTTGTTGTGGCACAACATCTGCACAGGAGCAAATCAACTCCTGCAACCAACACCAATAACAGATTTTATGCATCATTTTTTTTTTCTTTTTCAAAGTGTATGTGTGTGTTTGGGAGTGTATGTGTGTTTGTGTGGAGTAGGGGTAAGGGCAAGTGTCTCTTAAATATAAATTGACTACAAAAGCGACAAAGCTTTGGGCACTAAAAAGCATTTCAATTGCCCCACAACCAAATGACAATGTTCACTAACTTAGAGGTAAGACTGTAGCTATTCAATATAGTGTGAAATACGCACCTCATCTACACCAATGCGACGACAGGCCTCCAGGAAATTATCCACATTGCGTCGACAGCGTGCCATGGACAGTTTGTTCTACAGAGAAACGTCATATTAGCATAAATTTATAAAATATATATATTTCAAGTTGATGTAGAGTGAAAGCAAATAAATATGTGGTACGCGGTTAAGATAATAGATAAATGTATATAAAATACAGAGCTCACTTTTCAGACTAATTAAGTTATACTTTCAAGTGGCATTGAAGCGGTTTCGCATCCACTTCATAAAGCCATAAAAGATTTACTTCTAATTGAATCTTAAATCGTTTGCACCACAATTGCTTTGCTAACTCTACAAGCGAACCACAATACGCACCACACCGGGCGATGGCACATGTATGCTGGCCACAGAGCGCGGACGCACATAGTTGGCCAAATGGCAGAGTATAACGCCATCCGTCAATGCCGATGCAATGTCCTCGGGCAGCGTCATCTTTAGTCGCGTTTCAATAATCTGCAAAGGTAGATAAATTAGAATTGATTTCAACTATGAAATCAATCATCACTCACGCTGCGCAGCTGCGACATGAGTTCGGTTTCCTCGCGTTGTCTATCAAACTCTCTTCGCATGGTGAAGCTCAGCTTCTCGGCAGGTATATCATGATTCCAGGTGACTGTGCGTGGTGTCTTAACGTTGCCCAATTTGCTGCTACTGCTCACAGGTGACTTTAGTACGTTGCTTCCAGTGGCAGCAGCAGCCGCACCACCGCCACTACCATTGAATTTGGTGGTGCAGCCATTGTTGTTACTGTTGCTGTTTGTAAGCACCCCAATGCCATTCTTCAATGGACTATGAGGCTTTACGTAGCCTACACAATTGGCGCCATTGCCCTCGGCTGGTGATTTTACTGATGATGACATCAGTTCCGTGTTGCGTGAAGGTATCACCTTTTGTATAGGTTTCTTTGGTATGACCACATCATCGATGCCGTTGCCATTGCTGTTGCTGTTGCTGTTGCTGTTGCTGTTGCTGTTGCTATTGCCATTGCTGCTGGGTTGCTTCATAATGGACTTGGGCAGGGTGGCCGTTGACCCATTGGTGAGACGTGGCAGCTCCTCCTCATTGGGACTGGAGTTCGCATTGGGATGCTTTTGCTTATATACGCTAATCTCCTGATTGCGCTGCTGCTTCAATGCATCCTTATATTCCCTGCAAACATTTTTGATTAGATTTATTGAAACTTTGCCTTTCTAAGACTTACTTATAGGTCTGTATGTTGCTGAGACTCTTGATTGACTTGCCATTGCTGCGCTCTTGATGATGGTCCAGCAGCAGATCCTCGTCCTGGTCCGGAGATGAGCCGTTGCTGGAACTGTTCGAGTGCGCGTAGCTAATATGCTCCATTGAACGCTTGCTGGGCGAGGAAATGGGAGAAGCTCCAGCGCTCAGTGTCAGACTTTCATCCACAATGGTGCTGGTGCTTGAGGTGAGCGATGCATCCATCAGCAGCTGCTGCTGCTGCTGCTGATTGTTGCTGGCGGACGGCACCATGCGAGGTAGCGTGGCACAATGCAACGGCGAATCAGTCTTCGACTTGCCGGGCGCATCATGCGACCAGCGTTTGTCCAACCCGTCGCTGGTGCTGTAGCCCGAATCGATTTGATGTCGCACGGCGTGTCGTTGCGTGGACGTCGTTTCCAGCATGTTGCCGCTAGAATTGTGACGCGGCGCACGTCGCAATGTCGTGTAGCCGTCATAATTGCCACCTGCTCGAGCACCTTTCTCCTCCTTGGTTGCTTGCGTCTCCAGAAACTTGAAAACGTGCACCAGGCCCCGCATGCAGAGCTAAAAGTGGAGAATCGAATATTGAATTGAATGCGGTATAGGAACTCTGCTGCAAGTCGTATAACAATTGAACTAGTTCTAATTTGAAACTGCAATCTAATTGGAACTAGGAGCATAATAACGTTGGTAATTGAGGTGCCCAAATTTAAGTATAAAAGGGAGGAAGTGAGTTATTGTTAATAAATCAAAATAGTAGAGCTGTAAATTCCTCATGTGACATCATGTGTTGTTAAGGTACTAAATTTGATTGTACAGGTTCTACACTACATAATAAAATACTCAAATAAAAGTAGAGCTGTAGGATCTAGTTCCAGTAACTAAGTCAACTGAAAGCTATCGTTCATGAGCAGCTTCGAAGTTAAAGAATGAAATGTTGACCAAATAGAATTACGCTTAGCCAACTGAATATTTATGGAAAGGTCGCGACTGACCAATTGAACAGATTCAAATGAACTGAATTGTTCACTGATCACTGAATTAGTTCAATCGTTTATTATAAGTTCCAGTTCATTTAAGCTTATTTACAAATAACTCTGTCATCCCTCTAAGACTCCACTACTTAAATTATATTGCTAAAATTCTACTACTAAAATACTAACTCTACAATTCTACTGCTTCAAGTCTACTATTACAGTTCTACTACTACTACTAATCTAATATTACAACTCAATTTCCATAAATCTACTATTTCCTTAATACTAAAATTCTACTACTAGAAGTCTACTATTACAGCTCTACTACTACTACTTTCCTCTAATCTACTACTATTTCCGTACTACTAAAATTCTACTCCTATATTACAGCTCTACTACTACTAGTACTACTCTGATAATCCTACTGAATTTTCACAAATCTACTAATATTTGCCTACTATTCAAGTTCTACTACTACAAGTCTACTGATAATACCAGATAATACTACCCAATTTCAACAAATCTACTACTATTTCTCTACTACCAAATGTCTACTACTAAAACTCTACTCCTATGAGTCTACTACTACTACTAATCTGATATTACAACAATTTCCATAAATCTACTACTATTTTTCTACTACTAAAATTCTACTGCTATAAGTGTACTATTACAGCTGTACTACTATTAGTACTACTCTGATAATGATACTCAATTTTCACAAGTCTACTACTATTTGCCTACTACTATAATTCTACTCCTATATTACAGCTCTACTACTATTAGTACTACTCTGATAATACCACTCAATTTTCTCTAATCTACTACTATTTCCCTACTACTAAAATTCTACTGCTACTAGACAACTCTACCAATAACAACTCTACTACTATTTCTCTATTGCTAAAACTCTTCTATTTGTCAATCTGAATAGGCAAATGTGGTCATTTCTCAGCTGAGTCGGCTATATAAATAAAGTGTAGCATTGATAGGCTATCTAATCAGGTTTGTATAGCTATGGCATATTTCTGCAAATAGATAATATTATGACAAATAGATCAGAGTCATTTGTACTTACGCTTGCTGGTGGCGAGGTCAGAGGATTGTTCTCCAGCTGCAGTTCCACCAATGTGCTCATGTGCCTTATCTCTAGAGGAAGACTGGCTATGCGATTGTTGCTCACGTCCAGGGAGACCAGGCTCAGGCAGGTGACCTCGCGTGGCAGATAGAGCAGCTGATTGCTGCGCAGCGAGAGCGAACGCAGGGTGCGCAGTTCGCCCAGACGAACGGGCAGGGCGGTCAGCTGATTGTAGGAGGCATCCAGATCCGTGAGCGTCTCATCCAGACGGCCCAGCTCATCGGGCAGCGTGGCCAATCGATTGTTCGAGACGAGCAGCACTTGAAGAGGCAAAAAACAAATCTCGCGTGGCAACGAGCTCAGCTGATTGCTGCGCAGATCCAAATAAGTCAGCGAGGAGAGCTGCTTCACAGACTCCGGTATGCTGCGTATGGTATTATGATAGAGCATCAGCGTCTCCAGAAAAGCAAACGTTGTGATCTCCTCAGGCAGCTCACAAAATCTATTTCGGGACAAATCTGTAAAAGACAAGGCGGGAGCGACATTAATTAAAGCTGCAAAAGGGGCGCGTTGGCTTGTTTATTTTTGTTCGCACACAGCAGAAGGGACAGCCAGAAGGAGGAGGAGGAAGAGGGGCGGGCCGTGGGGTAGGAAAAGGAAATGGGGGAGAGTTCTCAGTTTTCCCTAAGAATAAAAGGAAGAGGAGGAAGCTGAAGAGTTCTCAGTTTCACTCAGGAAAAGAAGGCGCGGAAAGTGTTCACAGTTTCCCTTATCACTGCAACATTGCTTGGGGCACGCATGCCAATCGCAACTCCAACATCAACTCCCAACTCTACTGCGCCACAGTGGAGCGCATGACCTCAATCTGCCGGCAATTTACGATTTGCCCACTCGTTGCTTGCCGGCCCGCTCCCCGTTTGTTGGAATGGGCAATTAATTTACTAAATGAATTTGCATGCGAAATGAGCGCGGGGCAAGTGGTGCAGTGGTTGGGCGGTTTGCGCATGGCGTGCACAGACAATGCTGTTAAAAAAGACGAGGCAAACAAAACAAATTTATTGTGTACACGAAATTGTGCGTAAAGTTGTTTAAATTCTCTTTGGAGTGGGCGTAGATTAGGTACAAAGCAATTTGGCTGAGAGGCAGATTGGATAATGTGTAGGTAGCTGTGCTAGGTACCTTGAAGTATATGAAGAGCTGATTAGCTCTGCTTAGTTTTATGTCTAGGAATTCCTCAATTCTGGAAAAGATTTCGGGTTTTCTCTTTGACTGTAAGCCCTCTATAAACAGCTGCGCAGTTTTATGTCTGAAAATTCCTCAATTCTAAACTTAATTTCGGATTTTCTTTTTAACAAAGGAATTTTCATTGTTGGGTGAGCACGAAAAGTGGCTTAAAAGTGTTCTTAAATGCTGCTCCTAAGTCTAAGAAGTCTCTCTAAGTGCTAAGAGTTTTATAAACTTGTTTGTGCCCTATTAAAAACACTTTGAATGCCCATAAAATAATGTTGCGATGATATCATATGTAAAATTGAAGTAAAAATGCTTGACCAGCATTTTTATTTAACTTTTATAGAAATAGCATTGGATTTTTTTCTGTAAGTGAATCACTTTTTTATCAGAAATTAACTAAGATATATTTAGCTCACTTATAGTTTATAGTTTCATTTGAAACCTTCTTAGCTGTAATTCGTTGCTCAACACTGGTTATTGTGAATACTAATTGCGCGCTATATTCAGATGCTGATTGATAACCAAAAGACTTTTTATACACTCACTCAATTTGATACCCTACAAGTTCAAAGTCTTTGCAACTAGTTGCCTCACACTGCTGTTCGGGTTCTACGTATTTGGAACTAGTTCAGCAACAGCAGCTATTGCACTTTCTACTTATGTTGAGCTCACTTTTTAGCTCAAAATGTTGCTAATTTGTAAGGAACAAGTTTTAAGCTCTCGCTAAACTAGTTCCAAGTCATTGGAGCTAGTTGCTGAACACTGACTATTGCGAATATGACTTTATTCGCCTTCATGTGGCTTATGCAATGCTCTTGAGGAGCAAAACCAGAAATGTGAATCCATCAGCCACTTCCAAGTGCTCAACGCTAAAAACTGGCTGTCAACAGCCGTTGAGGCATTTGTTGTTACTGTTGTCGTTGTTATTGTTGTTGATTTACGCACACAGCCAGTGGCTCCCCAACCTACGAATGAAAATTTGCTTTATGCCTCGCTCAGCTCTCATCGACAGCAACAAAGAGGCAGGCAGCCGTTGGGGCGCGGCCTTTGTAGCTTCTCGCTATGGCTTCACAGCAGCGTAATCCCCATAAGCTTCATCTGGCCTGCTCCTGCCCAACCCCTTCATGCCATCTGCCCCGCCCCTAGCTGCTTACAAATGCAGACAAAGGCAGCGCTTAAGATGGCATTGCCTGCAGTTGCAACACTTTGCTGCACCCACATGGCAAGCGGCGACGGTTGAATAAACTTTGCCAGCAGCCAACAGGATGTGTCAAGGACTGCCGCGCCGTGACATCATCAGCTTTAATCAGTTGATATCTCCGCTTATCAGCTTTTGCAGCTTGCGGAAATTGTATTTGCGCTTATTTCCCTCACAGCATCCGCGATATCGAGCAGCGGCTAGCTGGAACTGCCACCTGCCGCATGCTGCATGCAACGCGCCTAAAAGTCACATCAGGGGCTGCCACTGCCTCTGACTCTGACTCTGCATCTACATCTGCCTTCGCCAATTGGCTCCTGGCCAAAAACGCAATGCGCAAACAAATTGGGGCTACATAAAGCAAACACACAAATAAATCAAATTGTTTCTCTTTTTCGATGCCCTTTAAAAATGTTTACAGTGGGTATTATGTCGTTGTGTTGGTGTATGTAGCAGCTGGAGTAAGTATCGCAGTCAGACTTGCGACATGAAATTAAAAATATTTGTATATATCAATGACATAATATAGAATTTATATAATGATATATCCGAGTATAATATAAACAGCAAAATTGTATATAAATATAAATATATTTATTTTTTTATCTCAGTTCTTTATTTTCAATAGTTCGACTTGGTTTGCTTAGTTATATCTTATCTATTAAGAATGAAAGCTAAAGATACCAAAATTATCTGCATTGACTCTCATAAATAATATTCCTTCTCAAGGTACCTCCAGCTAGACACGTTTAAGCTTATCGCTTTGGCATGCTCGAAACATGCATGAGATGCAAGGTATTTTCAAGTCAGTCACTCCCAGCTAAATTACTTTGAGTTTTGTCAGTTTTGCACGGTTGTCGCGACATCAAAATTGGGAATTGGATCACAGCAGTTCGAGAATAATGTCGCACACCTGCAGCACAGCTCATAAATATTGAAGAATCTACTCACAGAGTAAGGTTCACATTTATAGCAGCATATATATATATATATACGGCATAAGTGCAGGAGAGTGCAGGCCAAGAGCTATGGCTAGCCATTTATTGTTTTAGGGCGTCAACGGAAGCAACAAAAAATTCAATTTGATGGCGCCAAATTCCAGACTAAAAGAATCAAAGAGAACAGCAACAACAACAACAACAACAACGACAACGACCGCACTTATTTGGAAGTTTGGGCCCCCACGACAAATTTGGAACCATTTGCCACTCGTGACTGGCAATTCCGACAGCTTGGTTCATGCTGTGGTGTGGCCTCCTCTATTGATGGATTTATTGAAATTAATTTAGTAAGTTTTATGGCTGGGCTTTCGCCAGCAATGATGACGATGATGATGATGTTGGGCACACGCTTGGAATTGTGAATCATAATGGAATGATGGAGAAAAAGAGCAAAGCATTCAAGTTACCCGTTGGAAGCGGCTTTTATGGTATAATAAATGGCTATACAGTTGGATTGTAAGCTATGCTATATATGCTATAAATATGGTCACACTTAGTAATCAGACTTTATATGGAACATGAGCACATACAAAGATTTAGACGTGAAGACAAAGAAAGATCAAAGATATAACTGACTCTAATACAAAGCATTTTAGAACTGATTCAAACGTAGTTCATTATAAAGCCACGCTAATTAAAATAGTCCTGAATCAGAACTGGATCAGAGGTGGTGCAGACCAAGAGAACACACACAAATTGCATTAGTTACGATCTCAAACTCGTTCACATCTGATTCATATGAATTTACCAGAAATTAAACTACTCATGAATCGGAACTGGTTCAATGAAGATGCAAAAAGCAAATCTAAATGAGTCATACATTGGAACTACTTCGCAAATTGAATTACAAGGAATTTAGCTAGTCATGAATCGGAACTGGCTCAAATGAACTCAAAATTTAAATAAGTCAAAATCGGAACTGCTTCACAAGTGGTTCATATTGAAATACCACAAATAAAATTAATCAAAATTTGGAACTGGTTCCGTAGTGGTTCATATCAAGATACCACACAAATTTAATAAGTCACAAATCCAGAAGTTTATATTAATATACTAGATAAATTGAACTAGTTCCGAATCTTTACTAGTTCACAAGATGAACTAGTTCCGAATCTTTACTAGTTCACAAGATGTTCAATTAATTCAATAGAATTTTATTCAAATTTCTTTAAATATATTTTTATGCATGATTTTTGCAATAGCTTAACTAAAATTTCCCACACTTTGGAACTATTTGCTTTATCGCTGAGTAAACTCGATTTGTCAATATGCAGCTGAGAATACAAACAATACAGTTTCCATATGGTTTACCCTCTTCACTCTATCTTCCAATAAGTTCCAAGCAATCAAAACATTTATAACAACAACAACAATAATAATGCTCGCTTCGATGCCTGCTTCAATTGCTTCGATTTCATGTGGAAAGCAGAAGATACCCCCAAACTCTGCTTCCCCCATCAACTGTTGCCCACTCATCAGCTACTCAACACACACACACACACACAGCTGTGTTTGTTTGGTGCTCTGAAATTTTTGCGCATATTTCATTTTTAATCATTTTGTAAACTTAACATTGTGTTTGCACTAACGGTAAACAAGTAATAAAATAAATATTGAGCGCATTTAATAGTTTTTGTTGTTATTTCTTTTGCGCTTTTCCAGCATATACCAGCTGCAAGCATTTCGCTTTTCCCCAGCAGTAAAAACGCTCTCACACACACACACACACACATCGACAGCGGCTGGAAATTGTCTGGCGTGTGTTTAATTTGTTATTGTTGCTGTGGCTATTGCCCTTAATTTATTTGCTGCTGTTGTCAGCTGATACGAGCTGCACTTCCAGTGGCGGCTGTCCAGCTAAGCTGCCGCTGTCAATACAACGTTTACACAATGATTGATTGCTAAAGATATGCTTATCGCAATATGTAATACAATTGCACCGTTTCATCTAGTTAGCATTTAAATTGAAATACAGTGAAATCCCACTAGAGAGCACTGCAACATATATATTATAAGCTTATGTATCGCGATATTTGTATTTATCCTATTTTGCTGCGCATAAACGTAGTTCTAGTAGTGCTAGGGGCGCGCGTGCTTCGCTCACTTTGTTTATGCTTCAGCTATTTTTTTTTTGCTGCTGCCTCTGCTGCCACACATCGTGAAACCATTAAATATAGCTTACACTTCTCAATTAATGAACAGACACAATGAGCGTCCATTTTTCTGTGTCAAGTTTGCAGCCAATTGGCCTCAATTCTGAAATATGCTTGAACATTTATCTATAGAAAGCATTGTTGCTGAACTATTAGATAATATTATGAGGAATATTCATTTATTGCGCATTGGCTGCAATTCGCAACAAGAGTGAAATTTAGCTTGAATTGCATTGTTCGTGAGCAGTGCTCGACGTAATGCACGATCGCTGCCTTCAAGTCTCATCTCTAGCTGTCAATCATTGCTCATGCAAAGCACGCAGCATAGTTTGACAGCCACTGCGCAGACGACGTGCCCAGCCCAGCCCGACCGCAGCAGACAAAGTCGCTTCCACTTCCTCTCTTCTGCGTGCTTAGAGCAACAAATAATAATAAAAAATAGCTACAAAACTGTCGGCTACATATTTACACATTACAACGACACACACACACATGCACGCGATAATTTTGTCTCTCTTTGCCCCCTCGCTCGGTTTGAAATTGTTTTGTTTGGCAACAACAACAGCAACTTCTTGTTTCTTGTTTAGCCGCACAGCAACACTGGCGGCGGCAGCAGCTGCAAACGTCACTGCGCAGCTGCTAACGTTTTCTGCTACTTTACTATCCTTACTGCTATTCATTTCTGCTACATTTTTGTATTTGCATGCTAACCTTTTCTGCTACTCATTTAACGACTGCTATCCACTACTCTCTTCTGCTGCACTTTTGTATTTCCATTTCTAGTTCTATATCTTTCTCATTGCATCTGCTGCTGCCTACGTAGCCTTTGCTACTGCTCTTTTATCTGTAGTTACTTTTATGTTGATTCTTTTATGCACGTACATACATATATTCACATTATTTCTACTACTTTAGTTGATTATTTTCGTTTCATTTTTTTGCAGCTTGCAATTATTTTAAACAATTTCCTGCACGTCGCCGAGACAATTTTGTCTGCCTGCAGTTTCAGTTGCAGTTGCCTATTTTCATCTCTTTTGTCTGCTGCTCGTTGTTTGCTTTACGTGACATTCGTCTTAATCACGTGCAGGCTGGCGACTGCAGTGAAAACGAAATGACTTTTGGCTGGAAGCAGTGGAAGGCAGGGGAAGGTGGGCTGGAAGGAAAATTGAGAGGAGTGGGTAGCACAGACCACAACAACAAATCGTTTTAGGAAACGTTGACAGCCAGTCAGCCCCCCTCACACATGCTCCCCCACTCCACTTTAACATCCCCAAGGGTTGTTGGCAAAAGCAAAAGAAAAAGAAGCGAAAGCAAAAAAATTCTTTATGGCTCTCATTGATTTCTTTCAAGTGGTTATTCGAGGCGATGTTGCCACCTTTTGCCAGTTTTTTCAGGGGTTGCAGATTTACAAAGGTTCTTCTTCGACTTCTGCCCATTCACCTCTATTGGCACAACATAATTGACAAATATTTAGCAACAAAACGACTTCATTATGTACTGGAAGGTGGAGGGTCTTATAATGATGTTCACACCAAAAGGGGCGAATGGCTTTAATTGCTAATTAATCACGCCCACGCACACTCGCACACACACACATGAACGTGTGTGAGCGATGACTCAATTGGAAAGCCGTTCCAACGCATTGAACCACAAACAAAACTTTCAACTAAAGACGGAAGTTCAACTGGAGCATAAATTAACTACAGATGAGTAGCTAGAACTGATATATGATATGTCAAATAGAAGAGGAAGGAGAACAAAAGAATTTTGTGGACGTCTATAGTTTATAAAACTAGTAACTAGGCTAGCAATTTCTGACAGTAAAACTCTTAACTTAGCTGTAGTTCTACTCAATTCATAATTTAGTTCTTTAGTTCGTTGAGCTAGTTCAAGCCAATCCACCTCACCAACTGAACCAAATGAGAATATGATAATCTTAAATCATTTAATATCAACGCCATAAAGAGTACATAGCATATAAGAGAAACTCTAAATTACAGGGTATACAAAACTACTTTAGTGGTTAGAGTAGCAAATGCATAATTGCATCCAATAAAAATAAGCACTTCTATTTATAACAATGATATAATATTGAAATTTATTTTTAGTTAAAGACTAAATTTATATTTAAACTTTTTCTACGGTTTGGTAAATGCCCGACAACAAAAAAGAGAGATGAAATGGAAGAAGAGGAAGCGAACAACACGCACAGCTGAACATCGACGTCCTGCATCGATTTTACTTATTAAAACAGATGGTTCGCTCATCGGGGTAGTTAACTGGGTGGGTGAGTGGGTGTGCAAGTGTGTGTATGCGCTTCTATGTGTATTGACTGCATTTTTCGGGCACAACAAAAACGAAAGTTGGCTGAACTTGAAACAAGCAGCAGAAACGCCTGAAAAAACCCACCCGAAATGCGAATAGTGCAGAATGCAAATGGAAAAGCAGTAAACGGTAAAAACAGCTGCAATAATTACGGTTCCTGATGGGAGAGAGCGAGAGAATGAGAGAGGAGCTGAGGAGAGGCGAGCAGGAGAGCGTAGGCAAGTGCGTGCGAACGCAATAAAAAGTCATAAAACGGCTGCAGATGGACAAGGCGACATTAAGAGAGGGAAAAAGATAGACTACCAAAAGAGAGCAAGAGCAAACGAGAGAGCAATCATACGGCGGGCTGCTGCAAATTATTGATTTTCAAGCGAACAAAAGGAGATTTAAGCATAAATGTAAAGACGCAAACCGCACCCAGCGATTGGGGGTTGGGCATATTAGTAACGCACCTGCAATAACGGTATCCGTGAGGCCAAACTTTGCGCCTGTTTTGGGAAAATCCTTCAGCTTGCGATTAGTCAGTATCAATTCGCCGCTAAAGTGGGCCTCCTCGAGGATTCGCTCCAGCGAACGCGTCAGCTGCGAGTGCCCCAGCATGGGTGACGTGCCGCCTACGGGGGCGGGCGAAGTTGTGGAGGTGAGGAGGCTGCCTCCGCTGTGTAGGCGTTTGTACACCGTGGCTGCCATGCTGTGTGTTTGTGAGTGTGGGCGTGGTAGCAGAGACGCTGGCGACGGCGTCAAACACACACAAACAAATAACTACTGCACCAACAACGGCGACAACTGCAGCGAACTACAAGCGAAGAAGACCTGTAAAATGCGTTAGCATTTTCCTACTGTGACGCCAGCTAAAAACTCATTGATAAGATTTCTAAGAAATGGTTACGGCTTTTCCTTTGCGGCTTCTTTCTTTCTCACACGCATGTACACATACGCGCGCGCCTTCGCACAAACATAAAAACACACCCGAGAAACAAGCGGAGCAACAGCGAGGCCCAAACACACGCCACGAAATTATAAAAAATACTGATACAACGAACTATCAGTGTGACCTAACTGAATGAACCAAAAATTCACCTCTTTTCAAACAATGCTATAACTTGGTATTTTTAACATATTCAAAACATTTATACCATTTCTATAGTATAACTGCCTTAGGAACATAAAAGTCCATATTTAAAATTAACTTAATTCTTATTTGAGTTTTCATATCACGAAAACACTTTTTATATTTTTATTTAATTTAAAAACGGTATAGTTTTTTAATTTATTGTAATAAAATAGTTTTATACTCGTAATGTCTTTAATAATTTTTTAATTTGCAAATATTGGAAGCACACAAATTTAAATCGCCCGCAGTCTCTGAGTTAATTTCGTTGTGCGATATTATTTACGATATATAATCGATAGTTTTGACCAATCATTGACTCATCTCAAATTTTAACGATGGTTCGCAATTAATAGCCGCGAACTTGTACTCACGTAGCGCTGTTAGCGACTATTTCTTTATTTTAAATAAAAAAGCTATTATTCTTTTTTAAATGAAATAGTAATCCTGCAGAATTACTATCTGAAACCCTCAAATCACGTGAGCCCCATTTATAAAAAGTAAACTAAAGTACTTTCGATGTAAACGAAACCCCGGCTCGACGAATTTGCTGAAACTAAGCTACATCAATTTCTGTTATAACTTAGTGCCACTGCTAATAACATTCACAGCACATTCGGAGTTAACAGCCGCAGCATTCTGCAAAGCAACAACAACGTGGAATCGGAATGGGTGACAACGTGGTGTCGGAATTAAGTAATTTGGATTTGAATAAGCAAAAGGCATGTTAAAATCTTTTAATTGGATCACAAGTGTATTAGAACATAAACGTAATTAAGTTATGTTAAAAGTGTTGCCGTTCGTTGTTGCATTTAGAGGCACCAGCTATAAAACATTGCACAATATTCGAGCGTTACCGCTGAGCAAAACTCAACAGCAGTCAATACAACAACAACAACAACAAGAACAACAGCAAGGCATACGCAGCAGTCGGTGCTACGCAACATTGGTTGGTTTTCCCGCTCCCAATTGTGTTTTCAATCTAACTATTTAACTGTTATTGCCACATCATATACACCTAGGCATGAGTGTGTGTCTGTCTGTTTGTATGTATTCACATGCGTGTGAGTGTGTGTGTACATTGTCATGCGTGTGTCAATTGCTAAAATGAATCACAGCCGCCGGTTGCTGTGACGTCACTAACTTCAGCTGGAATTAGAGTCGTAAATACCTTTCCTTCTGCCACACTGACTTAACTTGTCTGTCCTATTGCATCAGCTTCTACCGAAAATTGATAAATCAAAGAGCCGAAAACACTGCTATTGTCACTTGGGACTTTTTTCGTGTGTGACAACTGTGCAAACGGGAAAACAAAAAATAAGCGACATCGAAATTTCATTATAAATAATTGCTTTCCTAACTGTGTATGTTGTCTACGTAGCATCTTCAAAATTCAATTTGTTCAAGTTTTTCTGATTTACTATTGCGTTTTATTGATTTTTGTTTTGTGCGCTTTGCAGGCTGCCAAGATGAAGAAGGAGAAAAAGGAAAAGCCAGCTGCAGGCGGTGGCGATAGTCGCAAAGGTAATTATTATAATTTATACATAAAATATTTTGTACGATATTTCGATATAAAATATCGCAACGAGCTCTGCCGAAATTTGTATACTAATGCTGCGATAGGCATTCATTGTATTTATGGAGAGGCCCCTTACTAACGGTATCTTTGCTCCACAGAGCTTAATCCATGGCCCCAGTATATCGAGGAACGTAATGTGTTTTGGAACAAATGCAAGGCCGAATATGAAGCTGAATTGGCTGCCAAGCCGCGCACAGCCATCAAAGTAACGTTGCCTGATGGCAAGCAGGTGGATGCCACCTCCTGGGAGACGACGCCCTATGATGTTGCACGTGGCATTAGCCAGGGTCTGGCCGATAATACGGTCATTTCGAAAGTGAATGGTGAGGTTTGGGATTTGGATCGTGTCCTCGAAGGCGATTGCAGCCTGCAGTTGCTCAAGTTTGACGATCCCGATGCACAGGCAGTCTTTTGGCACAGCTCAGCTCACATTATGGGCGAGGCCATGGAACGCATCTATGGCGGACATCTGTGCTATGGTCCGCCCATCGAAAATGGCTTCTACTACGACATGCATCTGGAGGGCGAGGGCGTAAGAGGATTAAGCTTAAAAACGTATATTTAGTATTAATGAAATTCTTTTCAGATTTCCACGAACGATTATGGCACCATGGAGACGCTGGTCAAGCAGATTGTCAAGGAGAAGCAAAACTTTGAACGTCTGGAGATGAAGAAATCGGATCTGCTTGAGATGTTTAAGTACAATGAGTTCAAGGTGCGCATTCTCAATGAGAAGGTGACCACAGATCGCACCACAGTCTACAAGTGTGGCTCCTTGATTGATCTGTGTCGTGGGCCGCATGTCCGCCACACCGGCAAGGTGAAGGCACTGAAGATAACCAAGAACTCGTCAACCTATTGGGAAGGCAAGGCAGATGCCGAGACTCTACAGCGAGTCTATGGCATCTCATTCCCAGATCCTAAGCAGCTCAAAGAATGGGAGAAACTGCAGGAGGAAGCCGCCAAGCGGGATCATCGCAAGATTGGGCGCGAGCAAGAGCTCTTCTTTTTCCATGAACTGTCGCCCGGTTCGTGCTTCTTTCAGCCACGTGGCGCACATATCTACAACACGTTGATGAATCTGATACGCGGCGAGTACAGAAAGCGCGGCTTTCAGGAGGTCATATCGCCGAATATCTACAATGCCAAACTCTGGATGACATCCGGTCACTGGCAGCACTATGCGGACAACATGTTCTCGTTCGAGGCGGAGAAGGAGAAGTTCGCTCTGAAGCCCATGAATTGTCCTGGCCACTGCCTGATCTTCGACAATCGTAATCGCTCCTGGCGTGAGCTACCGCTGCGCATGGCTGACTTTGGCGTGCTTCATCGTAATGAGCTTTCGGGTGCTTTGACTGGATTGACACGCGTTCGCCGTTTCCAGCAGGATGATGCGCACATCTTCTGCGCTCCCGAGCAGATCAAGAGCGAAATGAAGGGTGCCTTGGACTTTTTGCGCCATGTGTATACTATCTTTGGCTTCTCCTTTCAGCTGGTGCTGTCCACTCGGCCAGACAAGTATCTGGGCGAACTAGATCAGTGGGATGCCGCTGAGAAGGCATTGGCCGAGTCGCTCAATGAGTTTGGCATGCCCTGGAAAGAGAATCCCGGTGATGGCGCCTTCTATGGACCTAAAATTGATATTACCATTATGGATGCACTGAAACGTCCATTCCAATGCGCCACTATACAGCTGGACTTCCAGTTGCCCATCCGATTCAATCTCAATTACATAGCCGACGATGGCGAAAAGAAGCGTCCAGTTATCATACATCGAGCCATCCTTGGCTCTGTGGAGCGCATGATTGCCATACTCACGGAGAACTATGCCGGCAAGTGGCCCTTCTGGATTTCACCTCGTCAAGTGATGGTTGTCCCAGTGGGTCCTGCCTATGATGAATATGCCAAGACGGTGCGCGATGAACTCTATGCAGCTGGCTTTATGAGCGAAGTCGATTGCGACGCTGGCGACACGATGAACAAGAAGATTCGTAACGCTCAATTGGCACAATTCAATTTCATTTTGGTCGTTGGCGACAAAGAACGATCCTCGAATACGGTGAACGTGCGCACCCGAGACAACAAGGTGCACGGCGAGGTGTCTGTGGCGGAACTGATCACGAAGCTGCAAAAGATACGCGACGAGTTCATCACAAACGAGGATAGCTTCTAAGCCGCCTTACCCCACATACTCCCTTTACCAAAATATAATTCTCTATTTATATATATCAAGCTTATGTATACCCTAACCTTGCATAGCAAAGTACCGGCATTTCTTATTCAGTTGTATTTACGCTTACATCAACGAAATCCTCAAAATAAATTAGATATATGCAGTCTCGAAAGAGAGGCCAACAAATGATGTGCGCCATATCTTTGATTCTAAGTCAACTTGAATGGAGAACTTTTAAAGTAGACAACTCACTGGCAGTTGGAACTTCTAAAGTTCTTTTCTACAATCATGATCATCAATCAGTGTGAATGATAGCCCAGTTATACATAAATTTGTGAGTGTATGGTAGCTTCGTGCTTATCATAGACATGCGTCGAGCTAATGGAAATTCTTCGATAAGAATGAGACACGTTTAGGGTGAGTCACTCATATATAGATATGATATATAATATATATATTCAAATATACAAGGTCGGTTTGAAAGCTTATGCAATATTTTTCTAACTTTCAAAGTCAAAGTCGAATATTTTCATTAAAAAAATGTTGCTTTAGTTTTTTTCTGTTTTTTCTTTTTTAATTTATTGCTAATACTTATTATGTTTAGTTTTTCATAATTTGATTTATTAAAAATTGCGTTTCGTATTTTTTTGTTTTTGTTTTTATAAATTTTGTAAGCTTTTGCTTTTGCTTGTTTGCGTAAAAAATGCACAAAATTCTCTCTCGCTAATCGAAGCAAAAATTGTTAATATTGTTGTTTTTTTTTTATAAATTGTTAATTGTTTACACTGCCTGTTTCATAAAAATACATATCATATATATTTATTCATAAGATGCCAAGTTCTGCGCCGATCCCAAAACAAAAATAAACAAAAACAAACAAAAAATAGGTCTTTAAACACAAACAGAAATCGCAAACAAAACGGGAGCTTAGTCATAAATGGGACCTCGGTTATTCAGCGGGAGTATGATGATCCGTCAAGGCAGGGGTGAGGCGAGTGGAGTTTCGGCTTGAACACAAGCTGGCTCTCAATGGTATCTGTGGGTCAAGGGGTGGAGGGGGAAATAAGGGCAACCAGCACACTACTTTGGAATGTTCTTTGCGTGTGTTTCTAAACTTTGTTTGCTTTTCTCTTTTCTTTTTTCCATTCTCATTCTCTTTTCTCTATAATTTTTTTGTGTAAGTACAAGTTATGAGAGAGAGTAGGTTAAGCTGTGTTCACACGTGCCAGTTAGGCTAGGGAAATGCTATAGTATGATATTTATATATAGTATGCATGATATACTATGGTATACAAAATAAATATATATATCATATCATACTGTAGTACAAGTTAGATACATTGAAATCTACGGCAAACTGCTGAGCAATAAAGATTAACAAAACCTTATTTTCTTATCAGTAAAGCGAGATGTTTTAGCTCTTCTTCGTTTTCAAATATTTTGTATTCGTATTTTGATAACTGAATATTTTTTAGCAAATAAAAATTAGCTTTAAACGTTAACTGTTCAAATTAACGAGCGATCACTGTAGTTGTTAGCAAGCACATTATATTACACTCCAGTTTAAATCAATTTCATTAATTTGGATAATTTTCACATTTTTTTGTCATATTATTTACTCATGCATTTGAGTTTTGTATAGAAAATGAATGTTTTACTTTGGGAGCGACCACTGTAGCTGTCATTAGTTTTAGGTTCAGGCTACATTTTACAATAAACTAGTTAAAATATACTGAATGTTTGTTAAGGCCCCGGCCGAGGCACGTCTGAACATAGCTTAACTCATCATTTTAGCTTGGATTAGGACTAGGCGCTTACTTATATTGCAATGCAATTTGATTTAACGTACATATTTAGCCGATTGCGTTAAATTAGTTTTTAGTCTATTTATGTTTTGCTATCATTTTCGTTTTATACGTTTTTCTTTAAGTTATGTTCCTTTTTAATCTTGTATATATAAATAAACTTAAACATAAAATCGTGTGTTTATCTGTGTGCATCTCATGTTTAGCCTGGTTTAGGTTTTCTTTTATTTTTTCAATCTTTTTTAAGCATCATCATCATCATCATCATTATCATCATTGTTCTTGTTGTTGCTGAAGCCCGTTGCCCACACACACCTGGTCTACACACCTGGTTGTGCCAGCGTGTATCAAAGTGCGAAGGTTGTCGAGGTCGTAGCGGAGTTCAGTGTGCGGGTAAAAGGAGGCTGGTGGTTGTAGTTGTGGTTTTTGGATCGAGGATTAGTTTGGGTAATTGGCCAGTTCTAGCAGGCGCAGCCACCTTCGGGGTCCTTAGTCTCATTGGGCGAATCCTTAAGCACAACCTCTTGCATATCTTCCGAAGGTTTATTCTCCGTTGAATCCATGCCAGGCAGCGCAGCTGCCACACGTCTAAATAATTGTTTCACGTTGTAACCGGCCTTGGCGCTGGTCTCGATGAACATCACATTTAGATCTTTCGCCTTGCGTTCACCCTCTTCGGTGGACACCTGACGTTTGTCGGACAGATCCGTTTTGTTGCCAACGAGCATGATAATGACGTCACTGCCACGCTCTGTACGAACATCATCGATCCATTTGGAGGTCTGATGGAATGAGTTTGTATTCGTGATATCATAGACAACAACAGCGACTGTCGAGTCGCGTATGTAGGAGGGTATTAGCGAACGGAATCGCTCTTGACCGGCTGTATCCCACAATTGCAATCGCACCGTCCGATCCTCCAGGTACATCGTTTTAGATAGAAAATCAATACCAATTGTCGCCTGGTAGGTGTTGTCAAAGCTGTCATACATAAAGCGTGTAATCAGCGACGTTTTACCCACACTCTGCTCGCCAAGGAACACCAATTTGAATTTGCGCAACGGATTGCCAAAATCGCCGGATGACATGTTTACTTATTTCTGTTTCGGTTTTGTGCTGCTGCTGCTACGGTTTCAACTCTTGTACGTGTCGACTTTTTCTTAATTGCGAGTTTGCTGACCTCTCCTCGCCTCTCTCTTGTTCACTCTCTCTCTCTCTCTTTCGCCCACCTATTGTTTTGCTATTGGGGCGTGTTACTTATGCGGCTTCTATTGTACACGTTGCACTTTGTATTTTTTTCATATATATATCGATGCACGCACTTTTTAATCTGGTTTCGCTTAGCACTAAATTCAATTATTAACGTAGTAGTATTAACAAAATTTTCGTAGAAAAAGTCAGCCACCAAGTCGATCTGAGTCAGTTGTAGGGATGGCTATCGATATACAACATCGATAAGTTAATCGTACAGTCAGTTGACCAAACTGCACAGAACGCAAAAATACCAATATCATGACGCATACAAAATACTAAGTTTTATACTGTATAGAAAGCAGCAATAACGGCCAAAAATGTAAGAATTCAAAAAAAAATGTTTGGCTTTTAAGTGTCGCAATATTTGCTCAATTTAGTGATTTTAAGGTGATATTAAGGCTTATCAGTGAATCAAAAAGGTAAATAGGCCACTTAAGATATCTGTCTTGTTTGTAATTGTAATGAACTCTTATCTATATATTGATTTATATTTCTATGAAACCACTTGAATTTGACTTAATTTATTGCACTTTTTTTTTACTTTTTAATAATTAATATATTTAGCTTGTTAGTAAGCCAATTCCTAATTTTATTATTTATTGCCTTTTTCTACATATTTGACATTATTTTATGATGTATGAATTCGGCTTATTTGTAGTTAAATAATTAAATGTCACTTTCAATAATAATAATAACTATAAATAGGGTTCACCTTTTTTGCTAGCTAGTTATTATAATGAACATTATCACCTTTTCAATTAAATAAAACGCTTATCTATAATTACGAAGGTGCAAATTGAAAGTTCTTATCATTTACCTACGCTGCGTTTAATTCGTATCTCATTTTTAATTTAAACGGCTCGATAAAGACAATTGTAAACAGTTCCTCGGAAATTATGTTGCTGTACGGTCAGAAAGCCTCGAGCTTGTATTTAATTATCTGTTGCCTATTCTTTGGCTTCTGCCATGTGTCGGCAGCTGTTGTCCGTTCCACCTCGGATAACCTGAGTCCCAATGGTCGAGTTGTGGGTGGCACAACGGCCTCTGTCAACAGCGCTCCTTATGCGGTGTCTATGCAGTATCAAGGTACCCATTACTGTGCTGCTAGCATTTTGAATGCCAACTGGTTGGTTACCGCTGCTCACTGTTTGACGAATAGCGCCCAGGTCCTTGGAAGCACATTGGTAGCGGGCAGCAATGCAGTGCAAGGAACTGCTTCAACTACACAGAAACGTAGCATTACTTACTTTGTCATCAATAATCTGTATACGGGCGGAACGGTGCCTTACGATATTGGCATGGTTTATACGCCTACTGCATTCACATGGACCGCTGCTGTCTCTCCTGTAAATCTTCCCAAATCCGGAGTAATACCAACTGGTACTGCAAATCTTTATGGTTGGGGAAGCACCTCGACGACAAATTCACCTTCGTACCCCAGTAATTTGCAAGTTGCTGCAAATATTCCTATCGTAAACGTCGCGCCCTGTGAAAAAGCTCTGGGTAAGGCTGTGCATAACACTAATATATGCACAGGTCCTTTGACTGGAGGCGTCAGCATTTGTACCTCGGACTCGGGTGGACCATTGGTGCAAGGCAACGTTTTGATTGGCATTGTGTCCTGGGGAAAGATGCCATGTGGACAGGCCAATTCACCTTCTGTCTACGTTCAGGTGTCCTCGTTTATATCGTGGATTTCAGCCAATCAAAAGTTGTAATTAGATGTTTTTTTTATATACTAAAAAAATAAATACCTGCAAGTTATAGTATTTTAAGCTGTTGATATATGTTTTGGAGCTTTTTCAGAGGTTGGTCACGCTTTGCATTGCATTCCAGATATCGATATTATTGCTAAAGCCATTGTCTTGCGGCTATCGAGCAGGGCGACAAAAAATTCCAATAATTACAATTAGAGCCACGGCTAGCGCAACGCATTTAATTAATATTTATTGAGTCGTTGCACAATGGAAGTCGAAACAGCGGCAACACCTGAGCACAGTCGAGAATTTGCCGATGTGGACATTAACAATGGTTCAGTATCGGGTGCATCCGACGAAGAGGAGGTCCCAGCACCGGGCAGCGTAACATTGGAGCAGGAAAATGATTTATTCGTATCGGCAATGACACCGAGCGAAGTGCATGTAAGCAAGCAGCGAACAAATATTTATTCAATTAAGCATAATTTCATGGGTCGCAAATGGGGCGGCGTCTGAGCTGTTTTATCTTTTGCTTACAATGTTCGCGTGCTTTGTTTGATTTGTGACAACGTCACAAAACGTCTCGCTGACGCCCCTCTATGCGATTAGGCAGGCAACTTATCGCTGTGCAGTTCATCTCTAGTTTAAGATAATTATAAATGTTTATATATAATTTGTACAGCGTCGTATATCGGCAAGCAATTTGGAAGAAGTGCTGACAGACGATGGTGACTACTTCGTTCAAATTGTCATATCAGATCCCCAAAAGGTGGGGGATGGAATGAGCTCCTATTTGGCATACAAGTGAGTCACAGCCTTATCACGCTTTACTTTTTTAATTGCAATTTACGTATTAATAATAGAGTGACAACGAAAACAAACATTCCAAAATTCAAGCGCAATGAGTTTAGCACTTTGCGCCGCTTTAGCGATTTCTTGGGTATACATGATCTTTTGGTCAACAAGTATTTGCGAATGGGTCGCATTATACCGCCGGCGCCATCGAAGAATATTATAGGCAGTACCAAAGTTAAAATGAGTCCACAGCAAACCGAACCTGGCACACCGATCAATCAGGAATGGATCGAGATACGACGGGCTGCACTCGAGCGGTTCGTTCATCGTACAGCACAGCATCCGGTCCTGCGCGTCGATTTAGATTTTATCAATTTTTTGGAGAGTGATCAAGAGCTGCCTCGAGCGGTGAATACGTCCGCTTTAAGCGGCGCAGGCGTTATACGACTATTTAATAAAGTCGGCGAAACAGTTAACAAGATTACGTACAAAATGGATGAGAATGATCCATGGTTCGATGACAAGATAACTGAAGTAGAACATCTGGATTCAAATCTACAAAAGCTTTCATCAGCATTGAAATCGCTCGTCTCCTCACGCCGGGAGCTGTCCGTACTGACTGGCTTAGTAGCTAAATCGGCGGCCATGCTGAGTACCTGTGAGGAACACACGGGACTTTCTCGCGCACTCTCCAATCTCGCCGATGTGGAGGAAAAGATTGAACTCCTACGCTCCGAGCAGGCAAACTCGGACTTCTATATTCTCGCCGAGTTCATAAAAGACTATTTGGGTCTATTCGGTGCAATCAAGTGCATTTTCCATGAGCGTGTAAAAGCGTTTCAAAACTGGCAATATGCACAAATGCAACTTTCGAAACGACGCGAGAATCGCGGACGGTTCGAATTGGCCAATCGTGCTGACAAACTAGATCAGGCACAACAGGAGGTCGAAGAGGTTTGACATAAAATTTTATATATGGAACCATGTGTTTTACAATGATGTCTTTTTTATAGTGGCAAGGCAAGGTGCAACGTTGTCAGCAGCAATTCGATGATATTTCGTCCGAAATAAAGCGAGAAATGGAGCGCTTCGAGCTAAGCAGAGTGAAAGACTTCAAAGCTAACATTATAAAATATATAGAAGTCCAAATGGCGCACCAGCAACAGGTGAAATTATGGATTTATTTATTAATTTATTACATTACATTAATGCCCTTACATTTTTCAGATTATCAGCTACTGGGAGGCATTCGCTCCATTCGCCAGAGAAATCGTTTAACTTCGAATTCAATTCATCAGATGCATTTCCAAAATGTTTACCTAAACAGCAAAGCGGCATTTAGCTGAATATATGTAATTATTTAATTATCTATGCGTGTGTGCGGGACCAAATTTGTCATCAGTGAAGATCTATAAAAGGTTGATCTAAAAATTGAGCCAATAAGAAAAAAAGAGCAAAAGTTGTCGCTGCTGCTGTTGCTTTTGGGAATATCCTAACGCTAACCGATGCATTCAAAAACACACACATATATATATATATATATATATATATATATATATATATATATATATATATATATATTTTTATTCTTACACAGTAATTATTATTATTATTGCAATTATTGCTTTTATTTTTGTAAATGTATACAAATTTAAAGAATGTTTATTATAGACGTTTGGCGTAGTCTACTTGTCGCAGAGCGCGAAATTATTCTCAATCTATATTCGGTATTATATAAAACAAAAAAAAATTAACTTCAATGAAGCCAGTTATTAAATGAATATGCAAGAAACAAATACAAAAATGTAATTAAGTGATTGAATTGGGAAATGAATTTTCCCATCCTTGTTGTTGGTTAATATATATTTATGTATATTCTGAAAACCTTTTGTAACATGACAACACAACATAAAATTAAAATGAATAAATTTGTAAATATGTATGTATGCAAATGTTACTAAACTTAAATATCAACGGCGACTTAGCGGTACAATGTCGATAACGATTTCTTAGCTGTAACTGTTTTATGGTGAATGGCAAATAGAGGCTGCTTACTGCGAATGGTGAAATCGCACTGTGAATATTGTGTAGTCATTGTGTCGAGCGCGTTCTGGAATTTTCAGTCAATTTTAGAATTATTATAAAAAACAGTCACAAAGCATATTCAGCATTTACTTCATCACAAGCAACTGAGCAACGAAGTTAGTACGTAATAATGGAGTTTCCACATTTGGGCCAACACTGCAACGAACCCACATGCAACAGATTAGGTGTGTATGGCCTATTGGGAATTTGCAGCCTTTAATTAAATTAATGTAAACATAATTGTTTTATGGTAGACTTCCTGCCTGTTAAGTGTGACTCATGCGATAAGGTGTTCTGTGCCAGCCACTACAACTACGAACGTCACAATTGCCCTGGTGCTCACAAGAAGAATTTTCAAGTGCCCATATGTCCGCTGTGCGGAGAGCCTGTGCCCACAGCTCCGGGAGTGGAGCCCGACCTAACGGTTAGCCAGCATATAGATAAGCAATGCAAATCGGATAGCAAAAAAATCTACACGAATCGCTGTCATGCCAAGGGCTGCAAACGCAAAGAGCTGATACCCGTTCAGTGTTCACAATGCAAATTAAACTTTTGTCTACGTCATCGCCACACCAGTGACCATGACTGTAAGCCAGTCTCTACTACCTCTACTTCAACTTCAGCTGGCACATCACAGGGTATTTTTAAAATATTCTCCGATACGCGTGCAATGGCAGCGCAGGCAGCTGAAAAGCGACTTCAAAGCAAAGCACAAGTAAATACCAAAGCTCGGCAAGTGCCTGCAGCCACTACAGCTGTTGCACAACGCACTCAAGTGCAAAATATTCAAGGAAATATGGTAAGAGTTATAAATAAGAAGAAGAGAAAAGACGTCGATCTTAATATTTAAATCAAATTTGCCAGACTGAAGACGAGGCTCTGGCGCATGCTCTGGCTTTATCTATTATGGAACAAGATGACGCAGCTGAAACCAATCGTCGCGGAGCAACAACGCCAACAACATCTGCCCAACGCGTTACGACTGTGGGTGGTCGCGATCCACAGCAAGCAAATGGGAAAGACAAATGCTTACTATCTTAGTGTAAAGATTCGAAACGGAAACATATCCATCACTTGACCAACAGCCAGCGTGCGCTGCCTCTTGTTATATGTTTAGATATTTAGGTAAACCAATTCATCATATTGTTTGTAATTTATGTTTAATGTTGATAATTTACTTTGACTTCGTCACATTCTCTGCATGCTTAAGGCTGCTCTTAGCAAATATAATTCAAAATCGAGCCGGTTTCAAAATATCTCTTAGCTCGGTTGTAGAAACTGGCTCGATTGATTAGCTCTACTTGGGTAGAATAAACTGTAATATACATGTTGAATCGCTTTAGCTTTATAAATACATACATAGGTGAGGGTAATGGTAAGGTTACATAGGTTACATATATTGCATACTACTCGGTGCTGGTCACCATAGTTTGCCCCTCGTTAACTGTTTTTTGTACAGACACATTCTCTGGTTGTTCTGATATTATGTTCTGCTTAGTATCTGGCTCCACTTCGGTCTCCTCTACAACCACAGCTTGTGCTTGCTCTGCCTTGTTGGATATGGTGCTCAGCTTTCGACCAGTTGCTGCACCTTCTACAGATGATGATGTGCTTATCTTTCGTGCTGCGGCTGCAAAGCTTGCCACGCCTTCGGCGGCTAAAATGCTGGCACTTGACAATAAAATGGAAACCTGTTCGGCAGAAGGACAGCTCGTGATTATCATGTCATCAGCTGAATAGCCATTTGTTGTCAGCAATTGCTCCAGTTTTACAAAGGCTTGAATGATGTTGTTCTGCAAGGAAACATGTTTACAATTGGCAATTCAATCCAATGGGACATACAACTTACTCGTATAGGCCTGAAGATTATGAACTCTGTATCACGATTGCTCAAATATAGTTGCATCGCACGCTGCAGCACCGCCAACTTAGACTTGATTAGACGCTGTGTCTCTTGGATAATGCTACTAATTTGCTGTGGACTCGCCCAGTTACTTTGTCGAAGCACATAGTTGACTTTGCCCGCTGCGGTCTCCGGAGTTGTGGTGTTCGTTGCCAGCAGTGCTTGTGCTTTGTCCAGGAATGTGATAAGGGGACCTACAAGCATATGTACTGCATCTTTAATATACTGTTCGCAAACTGTCTTCAGCTGTCGGTCCACTTCTTTACGCGAGTCCAGTAAATGCTCCTTGATCTGTGGAGTGCCCTCGAGCAAAAATTCAAGCAGCGCATTGTTGCTGCCCATGGAGAAAAGCTGCTTGCGCTTTTGCAGCAAACCAAAGGCAGCCGTCTTCACCTTGCTGAAGTCCAGTGATGTTTCCTTGATGGTAAAGTCAACACGAAATGGTGCAATTTGTTCACGCAATATAAGCAAGTGCTTAATTTCGAAGAGTTCGCCATCAATCGGTGTTTTGGCTGCTGAGATTTTAATCGCTGCTTGCGACACACTCTGTATGCAAAGTTTGAGCGCTTCTTGAGACAGACCCTGAAAGATGGGTCGATCCACGCAGCGATACAACCGGGAGAGGCAAACCAATGTGCGTCGCACTGTTGGATACCACATGCCATGCAAATCAGCGGGCGAGTCTAGAAATTATATATAAATTAATCTCTTCTCTTGGCGAGATTCTAAGAACCTACTCATTTGTTTGATTTTGTATGAGGTGTCCACGCTCTCCGCTTCGCTGGACATCATGGAGGCGCGTGAGTCTGAGCGACGTAGTTGAATAGGCTCTTGCAACGATAGCGCAATACTCTGTTGGAATTATAAATTAATTTATAAAACTCGGATATTTTTGCAAACATTTTAAGCACACTTACCTCCATCATTTCCAGCTTCTCTGGATAGGCCAAATCACCCGTTGAAGGATTATAGTTTTGTATATCGGATTGTAAATACAAATGTGCACGGAAAACCAATCGCTCCTGAACATCCTGCAGCAGCTGATGAGCTATAGTGGCAAATGCCTCCAATCCACTGGCTTTATATAATTTAGATTATCTATATAGTTCACTAAAAAGAAAAATACCCTCCATACTTACGATTCTGTTGCACATGCTCTTCGAGCATTTCGATGCGCAGGATGGAGCAAATCTCTGCAAGCGTTTCCAAGTGGTTGATGTGAATAATAAAAGGTCGCAAGGTGTCATATAGAATAGTGCACAAACCCTCCAAATATACACTACAGAAAAATACGTAAGTTAATTCAGTGAGTTGAGTTTTTTGACTAGTTGGACTCACGTTAGATGCGTGGCGCCTGTGCCAAAGAACTGATAATACAACCGCTGCTCATCCTGACAGACGTGGACGAGAAATGCGCATGCACTGCGTGTCAGCGAACAATGATCGCCCTTGTGAGCGTTCTTTACATTTTGTATAGATTGGTTAACAGCCGGTGACATAACACTTGCTCGCTGTGCCAAATAATGCTGCTGTAAATCTGTCATTAGCTGGTTATATTCGCTGCTGCTGCTGTGCTCCAATCGTGACTCGATGAGCTGTGCAACACGCTTGACTTTTGCAGCCGCTGATTGATATTTGCCATAGTATAAGGCGAACGCGGCATCAGGTGCTTGTAGAGACGCATCGCTGCTGTTATTACGTGGATGTAAAGTCGCTTCCGTTGCTTGATTGATGACATTCACAACATAGTTGCGCACCAGAGCCGTCGCCTTGCCCAGACACTGTTTATACTTCACATTATAGGCAGCTGCATCCTTGAAATTAGGCTAAAACAAAGCAATATTATTAGATAGTCAACGAAGTAAGCAGTCTACATACATGCTCAGCTAGATAATTCAAGCAGTCATCAATTTTGTTTAGGCATTCGCGAAAAGCTTCGCTCGCCACGGATAAAGTTGGACTTTGCAGGCGTTGATTGAGCAGCTCCACTTGACTAAAGAAATGCAAACGTCGCTGAATTTCATTGCTTAGCTCTTGTAGCTTTTGTTGCTCATCAATCAACTGCTCGCTAGCCATGTTCAGAGCGCTTGTTTTTTGCGAGACAAACTCATACTCAGCGCTAAGCGCACTCAATCGATCCATGGCCACAGAGATTTGATCGAGCATGTGAGCACATTCCGCCTTCCGTTGCTGCAATTGCTGCAAATACTTGTGATAATTTGCATCGCCACGTAGCTCGATCTCTGCGTTGACGTTCACAAACCAGAGTAGAAAATCATTTGTATTTTGCAACCCGTCGGGGGGAAGCTTCTTGTCCACCTCATTACTGTCTTCCACTGTGTTGTGCACTTCAGTACGCGTGTACCCCGACGTCACCTGTCACCGAATAAATCAAAAAGGCAATATCAATAATTTGTTTTGGCCTGCGTGTCTATTGGTTTTTAGCATACCATCATTTCGTCGTCGCTCCATAAATTGGTGAGCACATCCAAATGTTCTTCCTGCTGTGCGCTTAGCGCTGCCAGTGGATCGCTCTGGGATTCCCATTTCATTAAACGATTACGAATTTTACGCAAATTTTCATTTTCGCTTTGCGCGCTGGCGACGTCATCCATTTTCCTACTGTAATCAACGCCGAGGTAAATAAACAGCTGTTCGGCTTAGTTATTAATCAGCTGTGCGTGTGTACACACTGTCGATAATATTATTGGTAAAAGTGTACACCTATCGAAAAAACATCGAATTTGTTGATCCGGCTGCATTTCTGTAGGCGTTGTTCACTTATTATTATTATTATTTAAATTGTACGCGATGGCCCCGCAGCCAGTGGTTACGGGTCTATCACCTAAGGAGGGTCCGCCCGGGACACGCGTTATCATACGTGGCGAATTTCTAGGCAGTCGTGTGCAGGATCTGATTGGTATTTAAAGCATTTGTCATCAACGCTTGTTTCCGGATATTATTTTGACTTATATTTAGGTCTCAAAATCTGTGGCTCCGACTGCCTGTTGTCGGCAGAGTGGAAATCGCCTAACAAAATCATAGCACGCACTGGCCCAGCCAAGGGCAAAGGTGATATTATAGTCACTACCATAAGCGGTGGTGTGGGCACATCTACGGTTCAATTTCGTGCATACCATGAAACAATTGGACCTCTCAAGGAGTCGGCTGTGTGGATAGAGGAGTCGCCATCGCAAAACTTTGCTTGGGGACGACGCACTCTTACGCAATCGGGCTTAACTCAGGAAGATCCCTTGGGCCTCTCCATTGAGGGAAATGAACAAAAAATTCCAGAAGACTTGCGTGATTTGTTTCCTGATGCTTGCGGCGACTTGTCACAGGAAAACTTCTCACCTGCTTGGTTTATGCTCGAGAATCACCTGGCCACTTCATTTGAGGACTTAAAGGCGGGACTGGCATATCTCAAGCGAAAAGTCGAGAGTCAGAAGGAAGGACAACTTTCTTTTCTAAAATCTAATGCGGGCTCTGTTATCGATCAACTGGATACGCTGATGAATATACGGGATAAATTTCAAGAGGATGTCAAGCTGTACGGCAAGGAGCCCTTCAGTATACTCGAACAGTCCATTGAAAGTGAGTAGCTCTTACATATATGCCTATATCAGTATATCAGTTCATCTTCTCATTTGCAGACTCCATTAGTGAATCGCAAAAGATTTTTACGGATGTACTTGTGCGGAAGGAGAAGGCAGATTCGACACGCTCTGTGCTCTTTGCCCTATCGCGTCACAAGTTTCTCTTCTGCTTGCCCAACAGCGTGGATCGACGTGCCAAGGCAGGGGAATATGATATTGTGGTCAATGATTATTCGCGTGCTAAGAATTTGTTTGGAAAAACGGAGCTGGCGATATTTCGTCAAGTGCTCGAGGAGGTGGATCAGCGCATTTTGTTAATCCGTAGACAACTGCACGAGAAGGTGGTAAAGATGCCGCAGAGCGTAGAGCAGCAAAAGAAACTAATCAAGGCGCTGACTAGCCTGGAGTTGCAACAGAGCGGCACTGCTATTGGCGATCGGTTGCGCAATACGGATCCCGCCTGGGATGCCATCGAGGCACGTGCCAAGTACTTGGAATCTACTTTCCGTCAAACCTTTGATCAGTACACCACTAAGGATGCAGCGGCACAGGAGAAGACAAAGAACCGCGATCCGAATCAGGCACCGAGTCGTGTTAACTTTTGCGAGGAGCTTTGCGACATAGCCGCCTCCCAGCTGCCCGATCTGTGGCGCCTGGGTCAACTGTATTTTACAGGCGAATTACGTGGACCTCATGATCCCAAACCGGGCGATTTTAAGCGTATGGTTTTAACAGCCATCGAGAAGTTCTGTATTTATCTGCGTTTGGCCATTCTCATTGCTGCTGATCAGCGTGCTTTACGTCAGTCGAGTGGCATATCCTGGCCAATTGGCTCATCATCAGCTACGCATCACTTCTTGCCGTGGATTCCGCAATGCTTGCGTTACACGCGCATCGCATATGCTACTCTGATTGGGCTGGATCTGCCGTCGGATGCACTTGACATTATACAGAAACTTATTGATGAAGTGCGTCTGTTTTGCTTCTCCATCATATTTAAACGCGCCACCGATCGTTGCAAGAAATTGGGCGCACAGGAGACATGGGAAACCACTGTAGAGGATTACCCTGGTGCAACGCAACTGCCAGCTGCATTGGAAACGCTGCTGGTGGAAACTTTGGACGAGGTACAGTCGGTGTGCATGCAGCCAGAGGTGCGTGAGGGCAACTTGCTAGAGCCCCATTCGGATGGACAGCGCGAGGTGACACAACGCCTTCAAGAGCTGTTGTCCGCTTTTAGTGGCATTATTGCCGAACTAGCTTATCCCTCGCATGACGATGAGACGCCCACGCATAATGTTTCGCAGCTGCTGGGCTTTCCCAATGCTCAGCAGCCGGAATCGGTGTCTGGTGCTGGTGGTGGAGGCGCTGCTGTCAACTGGGAGCAGCGCATGCTCTGCTGCCTGGCCAACTATGCGTATTGCAACAAGACCTTCTTTGCACACATTGGCGAAGTCTTTGTGCGCTATGGCTATCCATTGCCCACTTTGGCCATTGAGACGGCTCGCTATAATGCCAATCAGTTGTTTACCAATCTGTTGGAAGAGTATGTGGAGCATAAGGGTGATCCATTGGTGGGTACCATCGAACCATCCATGTATTTGGGTCGTTTTCAATGGGATCACGAGATGGAAATTGGCCTGGGGCAATTGCGTCCGTATGCGCATGAGTGTTTGGACAATCTTGTGGGTGTCTACTCCGAAATCTACAACATCTCGCCCACGTTGCTGCGTCCCATTTTGGAGTCCATTGTGCAGACTATATCAGAGGAGTTGGCTCGACTAATGAGCTGTGTACAGCACTTTAGCTACACGGGCGCTATTCAGGCGCATGTGGATATACGACTTCTGCGTGATGCGCTCGATAACTATGCCAATGAGACGGCCAAGTGAGTTAAATGCTATTCTTCTTCTTTAACCTGTTAATAACTCTATATATCATTCTATCTATAGAAACTATTTCATGGAGGCCTTGGAGGCTATAAGTCCGCCACTCAATGGCGAACAAAAGCGCAAAGCAGATGAGATTTTGGAACGTGTTAAACGGAATATGCGCCTGCAGTTGCTTTGCTTTTCAGTCAAGGAGCCCTAAGCACATTCCTCCTTAACAATTTAGTTATATATCAAATATTTATCAATTGCAATGTTCTTAACAATTACTCTAGTCAAATTCTCAATTATAAATGTATATAATTGATTACAGTTTGCATTTGCTGGAGTAATTGTATTAGAACGTATTTAATTAGCAAATGCTTACATTGCTGAGTAAAACTCTTAAGATTTATATAAAACAAAGCTTTAGATACAATAATTAATTAAGAGCCAATTGATCTAGCTTGAATTCGTAGATGAAATTCATGCCATCTTTTTTGTATTTCTCTAATGCCAGCTTGAGGACCTGCTCCACATCGATGGTGTTGAATTTCTCTTGGACACGCTGCTTGATAGGATTCTCGATTGCATCCATGATCTGATAGCGCAACAGATTGGGTAGCACATTGACGACAAATTCCATGGCATAGTCCAAGGTGCCGGCTCCATCGCAGCGCACTTGAATGTTGCCCATATCGAATTGAAGATCGTTGATCTGCAGTCGTTTGCGTGTGTCCAGTGGTTGGCTTATCTGAACCGTAACACGTATATGCTGCACCGTGAACTGGACATGACCCACTCGAGTCATCAGACCAAATCCAACCTCCCATTGCCCTGCTCCAGTGATCTGTTGTGTGCCCAGCTGCATACGCAGTGACATGGTGTTGTTGTGCATGTTCGCAGTGACGTTGCCCACGCGATAGAAACTAGAGCAGCCTGTGATCCAGGTATTGGAGAGCTGTACACTAAAGACGCCCATAGTGCGATTCTTGTCCTCCAAACGATATGGATCGTAGCCATTCTGTCTAACCATTTTGCGTAGGCCTGCAATGGCGCTGTCCAGTGGGGTTATCGAGTTCGGCATGCGACGATCTCCCATGAATTTCTCAATCCTTGTATTGATCTCACTGCGCACCTGTTTGTCTGCCTCCTGCAGCATAAATGGCTTCATGGCATCGAACACCAAATTGGGTGCCGAATTGATGATGCCCTGGAAAACGCTGCCCAAGAAGCCAAGATTCTGAAAATCCATAGCCATTTCACCAAAGGTAATGTCCATGTTGATTTGTTCCGTGGTCAGGTGACCATCACGCTCCACGCCGAGCGACACCGAGCACCGTACATTAACCTTCTTCAAGATGACGGTGAACGGTCCGTTGGCCTTAGAGAAGAAGGAACTGAGTATGTAATTGCCCCTAACCAGCATTTCGTCTAGCTGTATGCCAACGTCTGCCTGGAATAAACAAGATGGCGAGGATTAGATGAGATCGATCTAATTCTGCTGCTACTTGCTCTCATCTGTTTGAAGTCCATATCAACGGTGGCTATGCGAAATTTGGACAGACCGTAGGCCTTCACTTTCAGCATGTTCAGATTGGCCATGCCCAGACTTTTGGCCATATCGGGCACATCCATTGGATCTGGTATGGGTGCACCTGGCACTCCAACTGGATCCTCTTGCTTGTAATGCTCCAGCAGCCCCTCGATTTGTGCGGCCACGCGATTTTGGCTCGCCTCAATGTTATGCGCCTCATCGCTAGCCTCGGCTGCGGGTGACAAGGTTCAACTGGATTAGATAGATAATTGTAAACTTTCATATATTTGTACAGCTGCTCACCGCTTTCATCCTGCGCACGAGCGCTGCCCAGGACTAGGTATGCCACGAGCAAGACTATCAGCACTTTCATCTTTGTGCGATTTCGAATATAATAATCTCTGCTTATCAGTTGAGGAACTAAAACAACAACAACAACAACAACAACAAGTGTGTGACGGATGCGCACTTGCTGCTGCCTCCACTCGGATTCGAAGTCGAACTGACGACTGAGTCCGCTGAGTTAATCAAGAGATAATGATGAGCACAGCAGCAGCAGCTGCTGCCGTTGTGCTTATCAAAGGGCACGGCTAATGTTGAGCTAAACCCAATTTGAGTCGAGCTCTCGATTCTGTTTATTCTTCTCCCCCTTTTTAAACTGGGAATTGAGTGAGCGCGTGGCTGAGCCATTCAGTTCGCATAGCAGCGCAGGGAAGTCTGTATAAATTCCATGACATTCCATGTTCTATTACTACTCATCAGCTATTGCTGCTAAAAGTTCTAGAAGTCATTTTGTTTTTAATATATCATAGATAACATAAGTTATTGTAAAAGTAGATGAGCTAGAATCGCGTTCCCTGACTAGTCGTGTTGACTTTGGCCACAGTTGCCAATGTTATTTAATCGGATCACAATGAGAACTTCCAATATATTGTATCTGATTATAATTAATAATATTAAATTATAGTATTATTTTGACTTAGTTTTAACAATTTGTATTCATTCAAATTTAAACTTCATTTGTATTGTTTGATTTGCATTTAATTACATTTATTGCAATTGGCTTTTATAATTCATCATGCTCAATCTTAAAATTAAAAAAAAAAAATGTCACGTGCTAAAAAAAAAAGTTTCGTGCTAAAAAAAATATGTTTCGTGCTCAAAAAAAATTTGCTTAAATATATAAAAAAAAATTGGCATAAATTAATGACAAAATATGCACTTAAGACTATGAAAAAAATTGGCTTAGGCGTATGAAAAAAAATTTGCTTAAAGCTATACAAAAAAATTGCCTTAATCTATGAAAAAAATTTTCTTAAAAACTATGAAAAAAATTAATTTTTGTTTTGTTGTTTTTCTTTTTTGGTTTACAGCAGCCGCATACAAAGCATTCAATTATATATAATTATTATAGTATTATAATAATTGTTATTTTTTAGACTTTGACTAATTGTCACAATTCGTTGAACGAGTAATAAATACAAATTGCTTTGTTTTTTATATACTTCAGTTGGTGCAGGGATTCAAATTCTGCACTGCGGCGCCTTGTTTTTGTTTCTGTGTACGTAAACACACACAGATATCACTTATGGATAGATAAGGGTCTAATGAAGTACATAAGGAATTTTATAGGATAGAATATAAATAATTTCAGGTGTTCACGCAATGCCTTCACATGTGGTTTTAACAGCTCTAGGGGGGATTATAGAATATGGATCTCTTGATTGCTTGAGCTGCCGGTTAAACCAGCTACTTTTGGTTAATACAAACATAAAATGAATATATGGTTGTGCAATGGTAATAAAAGCTGAAATAAAACAAGAAGAGATGTCGGGATGAGCGCTTAAGTCGATTGCGACCGACTATAGAAATGTTGTGCCCTGTACCTGAATCTATATATATACATATATGTATAATAACTGTTACACAGGTACAGGTCACACACATGGACAGACACGAACAGTTCTTCTACCTACTCACAAATATTTACAACATACACAATTAAACCGACATTATGGCAACTATGAAACGTGGACCATAAACAGATTGCGAGGCTTGTTTGCCCGTTTACAATGATTGGTTACAAACCATGCAGCATACTAAGCAATATTTCTTCGTCATTGTCACCACCAATTCTGCTGTCGCCAGCGGCAGCATTACACGTCGTTGAACCGGCGCTGACAAGCATATCAGACGACTTCCTGGGCATATTACGTTCCATATCCAATTCCCTTCGAAAGCTTTTGAATCTCTTGGCCGGCTGCTCGATTGTTGATGTTGGTGATGGCTGTGAGGTGGTTGCTGTTGTGGCTGTCGATGGCTCCACGGTCGTTGGCTCCACGGTCGTTGGCTCCACGGTCGTTGGCTCCACGGCCGTTGGCGGCGGCATTATGTAAGCAAATTCAGGTATTGATGCATTACCATCATTGCTACGCAACGGTACGCGCTGAAAACCAAGCTGAGCCGGATCGACGGGCTCGCTGCCATTGAAGATATTGAAGCCTACGAAGAAATTATTTACTAAATGTTAACTGGGATGTATATGAAGTATAGCTAAGCATACCCTGGTATTGACCATTCTCGTTTTGCATGAGGACTAAGGGATGCTGCGATTGCTGCAGATTGTTAAGAGGAACTAGTGTAAAGCCCGATTGCATTCCGGTTGATGCTGAAATGGGTTCCTCTGCAGGTGCCACTTCTGTTTCTGTATCCATTTCAAAATCCTCTTCATCACTCGTATCACCTGCATCCTGATGCGGATTTTTGCAACCAATGCATTTGCAATCCACACACGATTTTCCTGCCACATAGCAAGTGCAACGTGAATTGCGACAGGTCGCCTTACCAGGAGCCGAAGTAGTGCCACAGCGGCAGATATGTGACATGCGTGAATCCTTGGGTTTAGGCTTATGGGCTGCGCTTGACGCTGGCGCCTTTGGCGTGGATGTGTGCGGTAGAGCCGCCGTTGTAGCAGAGGCTACAGGAGTTTTTTCCACGACTGGCGCAGCCCCAGAAACTGCAGCTGTGGCAGCCGTTGCAACGGGATTAGTCACTACAGCAGCAGTGGGAGCAGGCTTAACAGCAGGCTTGGTAGCAGCTATAACTGGGGCAGGAGCAGCTGCACGCGGTGGAGCTGGAACTGTAGCTATTGAAGCAGGTACTATAGCTTTTGTAGCTGGAACTGTAGCTATTGGAGCTGGAACTGTAGCTATTTGCGCTGGAATTGTAGCTATTGGAGCAGGAGCTGTAGCTATTTGCGCTGGAATTGTAGCTATTGGAGCAGGAGCTGTAGCTGTAGCTATTGGAACTGGAACTGTAGCTATTGGAACAGGAGCTGTAGCTATTGGAGCAGGAGCTGTAGCTATTGGAGCTAAAACTGTAGCCATCGGAGCAACAGCTGCTGTCATTATGGGCGATGCATTACCCACTCCTGATATTGGTGGCTTCACCTGAACCGAAGATATTATGGTTGGCTTCTTGTTGCGCAAATTCATGAGTGTGCCCGACGGTGCAGCAGCTTTGGTGGTTTCTAACTGCTCGCGATCCTCCATATCTTCGAGCAGCAGTTGGCCACGTCTTCGTTTTATAGAGCTACTGGCATTCACTGGCATAAAAACGGTTGTCTTGGAAGTGCTCGGGACAATTGGTTCGACAGGTTCAACGGTTTCCATTGCTTCAACTGCTTCAACTGTTTCAACTTCCTCGAGCTGCTGCTGCTGCTGCTGTGATAGCTGCACCACCTGACCAATGGAGGCCATATGCACCTCGCCGTTGGGCATCACATAGGTTGTATAGTTGGGCGTACTGTTGACATAATCCGTAGGCATCGTAAATGCCCCCGATATATCCACTTGCTCCGACCAGGGCGATTCTATGTAGCCAGCTGGCAAAATCGTTTGTTCCGCTGGAATAAGCATTTGCTGTGGTTGTGGTGCGATGTGGGTGTGTGTTAACATTCGTGCGCCGGGCGTCATCATGGGCAATGGATGAGCAAACTGTGCCTGGTCCCCGGTGGCCGCTGCCTCCAACTCTATATCCGTAATGGACAATTGATTGGGCATATGCTGCTCATAAGGCAGCTCAGGCGTTGTGGCCGCTGTCGTTGGCGGAGTCTCCGCCGGCAACGATGAAGGATTATTTGTGAGAAATGGCAAATCCGGTTGGAGCATAAATGTATCAGATATATTCTCATAGTTGGCGCCCTCCTGTATGAACCACTGTGTTGGCCTATTTGGCAGCCTAATCCGTGGCTTAGGCTCCCTGTTGTTTGTACTCTTAATATACGGTCGCAGATGAAAGAACTCTGAATACATTGAGGATTGCTGTAAGTGCACACAGAGCGTTTTATAGCACAGCAACTGTAAAGCCATTGTTTTGTTTTCCTCGTAGGTGCGAAAATCGGAGCAATCCTTGCACTGGGGGCAAATGGGCCACAAATTCTTTCGTCCACGCAGGCACAGCCGACAAACATGGTGGCCACAACGGCGTCCCTTTGGCTTGTAGGGATCATTTAGCAGCTTACAGCAGACGGCGCACGACAGTAGCTGACGCAGTTCACCAATACCTGTATTAATCTCTTGAATACGGCGGGTCGACAAATTCGAAGCGGGCTTTAGTGAGAGTAACGTAACTTTTATATAAAGGGTTTGCGCCTCCATCGTTAAAATGGTGGACAATACAAAAATGTGGATAAACGTTTATTAACAGTCCCCGTTTCTCGGAGACTGTGCTGGGCGAGCTATTGCGTTTGCCGCCTGCCTTGCTGTAGTTGCACCGCAATTCCGTTAAAACATGTTATTTAATTTTATTTGCTGTAATTTTTCACCGGTTCGCATCGAATTTTTGGCTGGCGTTCCTCTAGCAGTTGTTGTTGCTGTTGTTTTCACTTAGCGGCTAAATACTTAGAAATACTATTCACGTGCAAAAAAAAATCACAAAAAAAAAACAAAAAAAAAAGATGGTTATGTAGTCTTAATGTTATTCAAGTCATTTTTAATTTCACTTTGTTTTTAACAATTGAAGAGTAAAATTACCAAAGATGAATTGAAACGCCGTGCCTGCGTTTTATATTCTTTGCAGTGCAATGTGACCGTTCCATGGCGAGCTGTCGCTTATCGCTGTGAATGATACCGGAGCTGCCAACTTGTTAAATAAAATACTGATATGGTGACAGCTCTCTTGAGCATGTCTAATGACAGGGCTGCAAGGTCGAATTGAATAATATTTATTTATTCAAAAATAAGTAACAAAAACAATTTGCACTACAGCTCATGTATATGTTTAATAATTTTAGCAACGAATATTGAAACACAAATCTAAGAGAAGTATTCAAATACTAGCATTTGAAAAGGCTGTCGCTGTAGCAGAGGCTATATAAAATTGAGTTGAAACTTTTTTAATATTTCTGTAGTTAGATTCAAAGAGAATAAGCTTTGGCGAACAGAACAGCCTCTCTTCTAAATTATAAAACAACTGCGGGAAGCGAAATAAATAGGATAAGCACATTAAGATCTTTAACTTAATTTGTTGTGGATAATCTATTAACTGTTATACACAACATAGAATCTGTTATACATAATATCTAATCTATTATACATAATCTATGTGTTGTCTGTCTGTTGGACATAAAGTAAGCTTAAAAATCTGTTATACATTTCGTTTTTAATTTGGATAAAATTTAAAATGAGTTAAATATATTTACATACCTCATAGATATTCGCATGCAATTAACATTGAACTTATGAAGAATATTTATTAATTCTTCGAATACAAATGGTACAAATGTATATACGAAATGCGGACATTAGACACTAGGCAATATGGGTTGAGTGAAATCTTAGTCTATATCTATCTGTAATATATTTATATCTCTCATGCCACTAGGTAGCATCGTTTAATTAAATATCTTCTAGATGCTATGGTTCGTTTTAATATCTACGCTCTTCCTTCTCGTTGACCACTTTCAATGGCTGGTAGCTGGGATTGGAGAAGGCATCTGTGCTGCTCCCCGCCGATTTGTTCATCAGGTTCTTGCGCGGCGGCTTCACATTCACGTTCACATAGTTATCGCCGCTGCTGCCATTCAGCGTTGTCTCTATGTGATGTCGTGGCGAGGGTGTGGGCGTGGGATTGACATACTGCTGAGGAAATCGTCGCGCCTGTTCCGGACTTCGTTCCTCGCCATCTGATGTGGAGACGCGGTGCAGCATGGGTATCTCTTCGGGTGCCTGATCAGCTGCATCCACTGTGGTGGGCATTCCATTCTTGCGACGCACCGGCTTCTGTGCGCTGGTGTCCATGTTATTCGCTAGCGTTGGCGAATGCTGTTGACCCACAGTGCGATTAGTATCTGGGAACGTGAAAGAGGTTTCGTTTGTGTCTATGGCTGGCAAATCGGCAAAGTCGGCGTCGCCTTTGGGACGCGTTGGTGAAAAGATGGCGATGCTGTTGTCTGTATTCATTTGTAGATAATCATCGGATGATTCTTCGATTCCTGTTAGTGTGAATATATGTGTGCGGGTGGCGGGGTGTGTGAGTGTGCAGTTTAGTTAGTTACATCCACATCCAAGCGAACGTTCAACCTGTACTTACTTATCTTTGGCACTATGTGTCCATTGACATAGCGAGGCGCTGACGGAGCAAAGTCATCCGGCGCACCCATAAGCGACAAATAGTCGGTGGGTCGATTTTTCATATACTCCGAGTTCGAGCGCATGTAGGGATCATTGAGGTCGAGATAATGCTGAAATTATCCATACGTAATTTCCTTAGCATATTTTATATAACATTTACCACTTACATTGGCCACATCCTCGCCCAGCATATTGGCAAAACGTCTTTCCAGTACATTGAACAACGGTCGACTCTCCGGACTAATCAAATAGAAATAGTTTTCAATGATTCAGTTCATCAGGATTTCATATTTCATTGCCTTTACCTCTTTCGCCAACACTCGAGCATTATTTCGTAGATTTCCTGATTGGCATATGGCGGCTTCTCCATGCGATAGCCATCGTTGAGCTTGTTGAACAGCTCCTGATTGGGATCGATGCCCGGATAGGGCACCTTAGACAGCGAAAACAGCTCCCATAGCACAATGCCAAAGGACCAGACATCGCTGTAGGTGCTGAACACATGATCGCTCAGCGATTCCAGCGCCAGCCATTTGATGGGCAATTTACCACTTTCTGAAAATCAAAATCGATGAATGATTAGAAATTTCGTACTATATAAAATACTTGAGCCCATGGGCATAGTTCAAAATTTAGAAAATTGGATCAAATTTATTTAGTGTTACGGAACGTACCTGATTTCTTATAGTTATCCCCCCTGTACATGGAACGGGCCAGACCAAAGTCACAAATCTTCACCACGTTGTCTTCGCAGAGTAGAATATTGCGTGCAGCAAGATCGCCGTGGAGCACTTTCTTCGAGGACAGGTAATCCATGCCGCGTGCCACCTGGAAGGCCCAACTGATCAGGTCGGTGGTGCTCACCGACATCGCTTCAGTGGAATCGGTCTTATAATTTGAACGCCAGGCAGGTTGAATGGAATTATTTGACATGACATGATCATCTGCCATGGAATGAAATTATAATTATAAAGAGATCGACAGGTGAGAGATCTACAATAGCAGCACACTTACCCTCTGGCACAGTGGTCATCACCGTTGCCTCCGTGGCACAGGTGTCTATTTGACGATCGTAGGTGGAGCCGCCTGTAACGGTGCGGCCGGCGCGTGTGCCCGAACGTGGATCGTTGTCGGAGTTTCTGCGATTATGGTGCGTATAGTTGTTGTTTACGGAGTTCATGTGATTGATATATGGATGGTTCGGGAAACCGACGTTAGCATATTTCAAGCCACCACTAACACCAACACCAACACCAACACCACTACCAACATCACTGGTTAATATACATAGTGGGTGCACAACACAGACACATTTAGCAGGTTCAGAGCAGAGTGCAGAGAGGAATAGTAGACCATAAACCACAATCACAAGCACAGTTATGTTGTGTGTGTGTATATATATGCATATATACATTTATATAGATGTGTGTGTGTATTTTAAGGAAATTTGATTGTTGTAATTAGTTTGTGAATTGGGTTTTGTAATAGTTAAGAGCATTTGTTAGCGCGAGTTGCAGTAGAACGAGATCAATGTTAGTCAACAGGAAAAGTATAACAATGTTAGTTGGCATTAGCGATTATCTTAATGTTAAACGTTAACATGCACTTTCTATGCACACTTACCGATGCAGATCGAAGTTGTCTGAGATTCGTTGCGTCATGATGCTGGGATCGATGCGATCGTTAATGGGATTAATCTGATTGATGAAACACTTGCGATTGCGCAACAAAAAGTTTTGTATATTGCCAAAGCGACAATACTCCACAATGACCATCAGCTCACCTGTTTAGCAAAATAGTTAGACATATAAGGTAAGTTTTCATATTAGTTACTTGGTGACTTACGCTTTGCGATGTTCTTGGTAACAGCGCCCAGGAGATTCACAACATTCAGATGCTGTCCGAGATGAACCATTATCTTTAGCTCGGAAACAAGAGCACGCACAACTTCCGCGTCGGCGGTGCGCTTCACCATTTTGACAGCCACTGTGCTGACGGGTTCGTCACTTCGTATGCCCTCCGCCTCGCCCTTGAGCACCACACCGAAGGCGCCAGCTCCGAGCTGCTTGCCCAGCTTCAGTTTATTGCGTGGAAACTCAAATTCACGATTATAGGGCAACAGCTCCGCTTGCTCATCCAGCGACAGGGCCGGATTGATTTGCTCCACAGCGCCTTCAACAAAGTTGGCCAAACCAGCCGCCTTGAGGGCCAAATGATTCTTACGCTCCTGCCTATAGCGTATGCCCAGGAAAATGCAGAGCGCAATCAGAATCATAAAGAAGATGACACTGAACCAAATCCAAGCTTTGTTCATGCCAGGCATATCTGAAAGACAATTGGAATAGATTTTATACTGTATATATATCTATATATATATATCTACAATGATTCGCACTCACTGGCAATGATCACTTTGACGGAGTTTTCGATGCTGCCCAAACGATTTGAGACCACACAGCGATAGATACCATCGTGTGAGGGATATAGGTGGGGTATCAATAGCTTGGTACCATCCTCGACGATGTGTGTGCGATTCGTTTCGAATAGCTCTACCTCGTCCTTGTACCAGTATACCTTTGCCTGCGGCACGGCCTTCGATTTGCACTCAAGGATCAGGGAGTCGCCCAAATTGCGTTCAATTTTTGAATTGGCATTGAGATTTGTGTACGCCCATTGAGGAGCCTTCGGATCGTGCACATAGACATCGATCTCGCGACTATCGTACAATTCTGGATTATTGATATGATGTGCACGGCACTCGTAGGTGCCTCGATCCTTGTCAGCTATGGCATGGAACTTCAGTGTCTTCGTATACGAATATTCTGTGCTGTTCATCTCCACCTCGACATCTTAAAGCCGATCCACCATCAATTAATTGATTAATCAATAAATTAGTTACGCAAATTCCTTACCTGGACTAGCGACCACGAGTTCGCCATCATGATACCATTCCAGATTGTCATCGAAATGATAGGCGAGAGCAGCGCAGGTGAACGTCTCCTCATCACCCTTGGCTATCTTACGATTTGGATCCAGACCAGATATACTAATGTTCTGAGCAATGTTACCCAGAAGAACATGCGCCCGGGTCTGAGACGTAACCGGCTTACTGTCGATTAGATTCTGAGCCACACATATGATAATTCCTGGCTTATCGGGCATAAAGATCGCCTCGTGTATATTCTCCACGGTCAGTTGGCCGGGACGTGTGTTAGTCTTATACTGTTAAAAGATGATTTATATATTATTGATTGCAATTTTATATAATAATAACAAATATTTATGTATAATAATAAAATATAAATAAAAAGGTGTTTTAGCTTGTTTTTTTTCTCTTATGTTAACCCTGCGTATGGCATAACAGAAACGGTTAATTGCAAGTCATTTAACAGTGGCATAGGACGTTGCGCTAGCAGCAACTGCTGCAGCTTAACAGTGCGCTAAGCGGAATATGTTAAGTTATCAGCAGCAATTACAGCTTAACAGCCACTGTTAAACGACTGAATATCGCGCTGCATTTAACAGTTTATAAGTTAAATTTTCAATGCTTTCGTGTTTTTGTCAATTGAACGTTTGTAATTATATAAGTTGTTAGTATAATGATTAACCTGAACAAACTAAGTACCTGATATATTTCCTGGACTTCTTTGGACTTGAATTTCAATTTCATATGCGTAGAGCAAGTCGAGAGCAAAATACAAATAAAATATTATTTTAAAATATAAATGTTTTCAATTTGATAAATACATTTAACAATCAAATGGAGTTAGTTAGAAGTTCTATAGAACATGTTATATTAAGCATTGTTGAACATTTTAGGATTATATTAAACTCTATTAGTTATGAAGTGGGAGCGGTTTAGATTGTTTTGAAAGGCTTCTACCCAATGATTATTCTATTTCTAAATATTTCTATATACTTACACTAAAGTTTTGCGATGCCTGTTCACACTCGGGCCAACGCGGCTTTAGGCGACAGGCCTTGAACATAAATGTGACAACGGCCGGGGGATACGATTTGACGCTACAATTGAGATGGGCTTCCTGGCCAGCCACCACGTAGACATCATTCATGCTGAGAACAGGTCCCGAGATGACGCTTACATTAAAGTTCAGCTGCTTAGCATCAACTCCATTCGTCCCTTTGAGCGTATAGGTGCCGCTGTCCTCGAGCTGTGCGTTAAGTATTTTCAACGTTGTGCTGGACTCCGTGGCGAAGATTTTAAAGTTCGGTTCGGTGTCCCAGACCTCAATGTCATTCGGCTTGTACCACTTGAATGTGGGCTGTGGAAAGCCCTCAAAGTTCGCTGTCATTTGTATGGTACGGTTGGCATGCTCGTGCACTGTATAGTGATTGGAGGGCTCTGACACTTTCAGATAGCTGGAGTTGGGCTCTGTTTTGGTTGGAAAAGAAAACCAGTTCTATACTTGTTTTCGAAATCAGCGCTCAAAGTGGTACTCACGCATAACATGCATCCTGTAGGAGCCGAACTCCCTGACATGTGAGTCGCTTACGACGCACTTGTAGGTGCCCTTATCAGTCAGCTTGGCCTCTCTCACGGTCAGGGTGCTGCGACCCACCTGATAGGTATTGTTCTTCACCCTATCATCGAATTTTGGAGTGGTATTCGTATAGCGTAGCTAAGGGAAAATTGAAGATATATTAGACATGCAGCCAATAAAATTAACAGTAATCAAGTCAAGAGAACGGTTCGACTAGGGAATATCCTTAACATAATATAGACTATTGAAAAAACTCAAAATAGAGACTAAAATAGAGAAAATGTGCTAAGACAAATATGATTGGGATGGCTGGTGGGAGGTAGCTCAAGAGAGAGGAGGGTTTTTACTCGGTAAACATAATTACCTCGATATCAAAAAATGGAATAAGTATTATCATTATTTTAATCTTATGTCAATGTAATTATTGATATGTGAGTATTTACCAGACACACTTGATCACAGTAAGCGAGGTTAAGGTTGTATGGAATACGGATCAATAGATGAAGATTACTACATCGATTCATTTTAACTGTCTATCAATATTTATAGATATTCTTATATTAAGAATACGAATGCATTCTTAATGGGTTCGGGTATAAGTCCGAACAAAAGATGTTTGTATTGCTGAATCATGATGCTGACAGCTAAGATGCTGTTCGTGTCACATGGACCATCTCTAATTTATAGTGTGTATTAGATGCCTACCTTATCCACTTTTTCTGGAATGATCCACTGCATATCGTAGACAACGCCGTGTGGAGCAGACAACTCGCAGACGAGCTCAAATGTTTGACCCTCGTAGACGTGGCCACGGGACGCCGAGGTGATGACTGGCTTGTTGAGGCGATCGCTCGCTTCTGTTGTGCACGCAGAGAGGATTACGTTATTAAAGTTAAATTAACAGTTAAATAAAGTTCGGCAAGCATTTTTACAGCTACATGCAGTGGGTTAGCGGGGGGAGGTTTAGAGGAGTTAGTGATAGGCTAAGACAAACTAAGGCATTAAGAACTAAAACTAAATAGTTAGCAATTAGCTAATTTGAATTTAAAGCAACATTAATAATAAATTCAAATAAAAATTAGTTAACAAACATGCGCAAAAAAAAGACAAATAATAATGCAAACAATCCAAAAGCGAAAAAACCAAAACACATAAAAATGAAAACATTATGCAGGACATTCAGAGACAACAAGACAGCAAGGGACAACCGCAACACTTACGCCCTTTCGGTTGCCTTGAGGGCATAGGTTTCATCGGGGCCAGCATCGTGTAGCTACGCTTTGGACGACGCGGGGCAGACGACGATGATGAGGAATAGGACGAGGATGATGTTAACGAGGATGAGTCAAAGTCAAAGTCTGGGATATCATTGGGTACCGTGTTATCGGTATCGGTATCGTTATGCGTATCGACGTCGATATCGACATCGCTATCAACATGCCCAACACCAGTTGTTAATGCAACGATATCGTTGGCTCTGTTAGTAACATTGATGGATTCATCGGCGCGAATCATAACCTTTAAATCATCGTGCGTTATGTTAGTTAACATCACAGTCTGCACCAAAGTATTTTTGTCCAATCCGAATGCTGAGAATGTGTTAGCATATTAATAAGACAGTTATAGAAAAATATTTAAGATAGTTTGTATAAGAAGACAGATAGAGACAGAGCGAGAGAGCAGCTATTGATGTGTATAAGTGATCCAAATGTCACACATAACCTCACATTTAATAAGCGATTGCAGTTTTATTTTCAACAACTACCGAGTGCCAACTGTACTTCTGTTTGTGTGTGTGTTTGTGTATGTGTATTTGTGTGCGTGTGAAGAAAGAATTTTGATTGAACTGTTGTAATTCTTAGACCCATAGCCATAGGTGCAAGTCCGAAAACCTCTTTTAAAAGTTGAGAGTAATAGATGTTTTTCTAGTTTTTGTTTTTGTTGTTTTTAAATATAAAGCAATATTTACGACACATATATGGACGGAAAATCACAAATCACAAACTTTGGGGTGCAAAAACTCACTATCAATGTGACCGTTACCAATAAAGCGCACAACTATGAGCGTGTTTTCCTCTTCGTTATCCGGTGCGGGGATTTTGGGCTCGCAATAATATTCACCGCCATCGGTAACGCTGCGTATTTCGATAACAAAACCACGTTTCGGATCGTATCGACCGGTATGCTCACTGGAAAATGTCTACGAAAATGTCTATATTTATTTATATGATTATAGTCAGGTAAATCAGATATGTTAGGTGTGAAACGATGCAGAATGTATGAGTTATGAGGGCAGAGAAAACTTTTCAATGACAATAATTTCTTTCCTATCGATCAGCAACGATAACCTGAAAAAATAACAATTCGACAATTTTCGCTCTACATTTTGTTGTTGTTACTATATACTATATATATCTATAAATATATGTATATACATATTAATTTAGGCATATGTGGTATGTACATATGAAAGCAAATATAGTTTAAAATTGACTATAAAAGTAATCACAGTTACAGTTTCAACGTACTCTGATAGTGCATATCGAACATGTGGTTCATAGTAGCCGCTTTGCATTTCCAGGACGGCGGTATTTTGTCAGTTATAAAATAAATTGTGAACCCCACCTTGGGATCGTAATTTGTACTATTGTAAAAGTCATGTCGACTTAGAGAGACCATACTTGAGTTAATTTTACCTATCTGCTTGCCGATATGAATGGCGAATAAACATGTTTGAGAAGTGTGTGAATTTTATAAGCACAATCATATATTGATCTTGTTAAATACGCACCTCACCGTTGAAGGTTAACAGCACCTCTGTCTCGGGCATGGTCGGCTTGCAGGGTATTATCACCTCGGAGTATTGGCGAGCATGAATGATCGGCTCCATCGGCACTAGCAAATTGCTTTTATCATTCACAAACACATAGATGGTGCTGGCCTCATCCTCGTTGACCAGCCTGACCAGCGCCTCCTCCGACCAGTTCGCCTTATCGGGGGCCGCAGAGGACTTGATGCAATAATAGGCGGACACATTATCAACAGTCACGTCATCCAATATGAGTTTGATGCCAAATGGACGCAGTGGGTCTTCAACGTTGTTAAAGGTTTCACTCTGCTTGAATCCGTCGTGGGTATTCCACCATTCGATAGGCTCGCTGGCCTCACATTGCAGGGTATAAGTTGTGCCAACATCCAACTTAAGCGAGTCTTTGCAGGGCGTTATAAGTGGCACACCAAACTCCCCGCCACAGTTATAGGGTATATCATTACCCTCAAAGTCACTTTGAGGTTGGGGAACTAGTAGCAAAAATTAAAAATAAAATTCGAGTCATTAGGAATTTAGTATGCGTAATTTAACTATAGAAATATCTAGGAATTATATATAAATAAAATTTATATAAGGTATCTGATAGTCTAGCATTTGCCACTCTATGTGTCTTTATAGTATTTCATACGTCATGTCAAAGTACTTGAGTACCAGATAAAAGCATATCTGGGGCATCTAGTGGTAATTGAACAGGTTTTTGAATAGAGCCATATATATATATATATATATATATATACAATATTAGCAATATATATAGATATATATTTATTGGACTCTCTATATAAATAAGTATCTTAGACATCGCTTATAGATTCTTATAGAAGACCTCTTTTGTTTGCCTCTGGGTCTTTCTCTTTCTCCTTGAATATATATAATACAATATATATATATATATATATATATATATATATATATTTGGCGATAAATAAATCGAGGGATGCTGATAGCATAAGTCTCTTGAATTCTTTACACTGTTCGCAAAGTAAAGAAGAGTATATTGGCTTAAAGTAATGCCTAAATAATGTATTCTCAAATCAAGAATTTTTATAAAAAAATGTTTTATCTAAGGAAAATTCGGGTACTTCATCTCTCCTAGATCAAGCCGAAAGTACATATATATATGTACATATATATAATAAAATATATAAATTTTCTAATCACTTAGCTTTAAAGCTACTTGACACAACAGTTTTGCAGTTATAAAGTCAACGATAAGCAGCAAACTCAAGCCAAAGCTGGCTTCTCCGTCCTGAGCGTGCGAGGCATATATTTTCATATCTATGTTACTTAATATTACTACTTAACAGAGTCTGCCTTTCGTAAGCGATGGAACATATTATTTATTATGGGTGACACTTTAATGGGATATGCTGATCGTTTTAATGGTCGGCGCCACAGCCGAAAATGAAAAGAGAAGAGTAACGACATTCGCTTATCAACGATCGACCGAAGTTCACAATTGCGTCTAGCGATTCATTTAAGACTCCATAGAGATTGGATGATTGGTATTGTATGATTGCAAGTTGCCTGGATGAAGCGATCGAGCATGGATCATAAATTATAAGAAAGACAAACAACACAGGCCTGATGGAGTGGCATAAATATTCATATAATATATATAGAGACAGTGAGACACATGATATTTATATATCATACACATATTTTAATTGTGTGAATTGCCTGCGCTAAGCATTTCATGGTCATCACTTAAGTCATTTCAACTAAAAATACCCTGTATTTAACGAAAGAGTGAGCATGCCTAACAGTTCTAAAGCTAGAAAATATTTCTATGATTTTGTTTTGTAGTGCTGTATCAGAAGTCCCTCCTTTTCCCTTTTATATATATAAATATATATATATATATATTTATATATTTTTTATTTATTTATGTGAACAGAATTTATGGCACTTATCACTTCTGAATTCTCAGAATTTCATTCAGGAAATATGTTAAGTAAGCCCAAATAGCATTTATTATTATTATCTACTTCTGATTAAAGGCAAACATAAATATATACATATATATATATATATATTGTTTTGTTAAGCAAATTCTTAATATTGTATATTGAAAAAACCGTTACTTACATGCTCGATTGTAGTGTAAATATGAGATTCCGATGAGGCAGAGCAAGAGAAGTTTCCGCATTTTGATAACGTTAATCATATATTTTAAATTATATATTTAAATTGTTGTTTTCGTTGTTCTTTTCTTTTCTTTTTGTATATATTTGAATATATATTTAAGATATCTGGCGGAATTGCTTCATTGTTATCACGAATTTCGCCTGATTGCACTGCAAGAAATTAATAAATAAATAAATTAATACATGAAATATGATCTTGTATTTGAATTGTAAAAAAATAATAATTTAAGCAACACTGCGCACATTTATGTTGATGTTAATAATTAATAAATTGCTTTTGTTTTTTTTTTTCCGTTTTAATTCACAACAATCTATACCCATTCACAATAGTCTTGTGTTTTCCGTCTCGAACGTTGCGCGCAATCTTTGCGACCCAACTGAATGCTCAATCTTCAAGCTACATGCGACTCGCATCACGAAACCCGATGAACTGAGACTGTTCACAATATTGTTATTGTGTTTTGGAGTTGCTGCTGTTGTTCTTGTTGTTTTTGTTTGTTTGATAAAAAATGGAAATGTAATTCTTTCTTCAGCTTCTATATGGACTGCTGAACTCTTAATCTGAAAAAATGTAGCACTATCACAGCACAGTTTTTATCGTTTATCGTTTTTATGCGCATAAACAAAAACAAATTGTGTCTGAACAATAGAGAGACAGACGCAAGCAGAGAGGGAGAGAGAGATCACGCACTCACGCATGAATAGAACTCTGTGCGTTACGCATACGCACAGTGTTACACAAAATATTATAATGCACATCCGCTATAGACGATACGCACAGTGTTGCCAGATCGCACAAATGTGGAACAGCAAACTGACTACAACTACTACAGTCACAGCTCTGTGTGGGTGGCCGGCGACATGCGGCGCACTAAATAAAAACGAGACATGCACAATTAAACATGTAGACTAAAACACACACAACAGACAATTGGCTCTGTTTATGGCGGGTGGCCGGGCCATAAATATGCTTGTAATACATACTCACAGCCAAGCCAAGCACCCACCCACCCACTCGGTACGTCTGCTTCAGTTGACAACAAGTGGTCATATGGACAGCAATTTCACAGTGTTTTACCAACTGGGAACACACTCAGCGAAATCATATGGGGGTTAGCTGACATTTAAGCCTAGCCAACTTGTTGGCTAATTGCCTTTTTGGGGCTGTCAAACAAACATCACACAAAGGCATTCATCTTTGTCAACGACAGCAGGACAGAAGGAATCATGAGTCATCTCTGGCTCGCTAACATCTAATTAATGTGCCCAAGCCGCACTCACCTGAGTGACATTGCAGGCACTTACACCTGCAAATATTGACAGCTCGAATTGAAAGGACAAGTTTAATCGCTTAATCATGATGAGAGCAAGCATTTACTTAATGGCAGGGCACAGAGCAAGAGGTTTGTGCATGCCAAGCAGATGCTCTGTAGCAAAACATACATTTAAAACTTACACGTCTAAGAGGATTAAAGTCGTAAAAGAGACCACTACTCAAACCGGCTAGCTTTCGAAAGCAATTGAGTTTTATTTGTTTTTATTTTCTTTTTCCATTTGATACTTCAGTCGATTATCTTCAGATATACTAACTGTTGTATTCGAAATTACATTTTCAATTCTAAGTTAACATACCAAGATGATATAAAATTGATGTTTATTGCAGCAGCTGGATATATGAGAATCTCATAGAAGGGCAGGCATTTGAATAAAAGAATATGGTAATAATATATAATATAATATAGTAATGCAAACACATGTTTGCTTACATACATTCTTATTTACATAGATATGTATATATGTATACACATACATAGACCCGTGCATATATACATATATACATGCAAACATACATATGTATACACATATTTACATACTTACATACACCTCCACACAAACGCCAACAAAACGTGTGAATATAACCTATAAAACTTCATCAGACTCGCGTAGGAGGGAGCAACAATTTAAAACACAAAACATACATAAATAATAACATTAGCATAACATGATTTAATGCCCGCTTAACAGACAACTGTTACAGTTAACAGCCCTGCCAATAGTGAAGCTGGCAACTTAACATTTCTGTTAAATTAGACCCACAGCAACATGCTCACGCAGTTAGCCGCATTGCTCATTATTACATTAATGCAAAGAGTATGAAAACTTGCTTGAATCGTTTTCTTTTCAATTGCCCACAGCGGCTGTGATTTTTGTTGTATTTTTTCCCTTTTATTTTTTGTTGCTGTCGTGCAGTTGCCATAACGACACGCCCACTTTTGCATTTTCAAGGGCGCTCACGCATACCTCTGACCACATTTTTTGCTGCAGCAATTACTGTTGTTGTTGCTGCTGCTGATGGTGTCGTGTTGGCTATTTTTAACCACCGCGAAGTCCCCCCTGAGTGGGCCAACCCCGCCTAATTACCAGTCGCCAGCTCCCAGCCGCAATTAATTTGCGTCCCTTTCGACTGCAGGAGCTGCTGCTCAGCGCTCTTTGATTTGTGATTTCATTGCTTGCTCAATCAGACATAATTCAACTTTTTACCATTTTTTTTTTTAACGAATTTACTTTGCTTAGGTGAAAATGATTGGAAATATTTAACATTCATGTTAACGAGCGTTCTGCTTGCAGCGATGTGGTCATAGGCGGGCGATACGCTCGAGTGCACACCCTCGGCTCAGTTCATATAAACACACGCTTATCACATGTGTGTGTGTGTGTGTCTGAGGCACACTCATGCCTTGCCATGAAAATCTGTTTACATAAATGACAATATTTGCGTATTAATTGAAATGCGGCCCAGTGAAGCGGCGACAATTGATTGTTTAGTAAAACCGGTTTGTGTGTTGGGGCAACTGTCTGGACTCCCCCTAGCATTTGATGTACACTCCATATACATATCTAACACCTTTAACAGTTCTCCATACATAAATTCCTTGGAAGGCACCGATTCAATAGCTCATAATGCCAATGCGTATATGAGATACGCATATGAATATTCGGAATGTTATGATCAACACTTTAATAGCGGATATATGTGTCTGTATGCATATAGACAAATTAGCAATGCTTACTATTATACATATGTATGTATGTGTGTAGAAGCGTGCTAATAGTCCCGCTGACTGCATGCATACATACATCTTCATTAGATGAAATCTTAAGTCATGTGGAAATAAGATGAAATAGTTCAGTGAGTGAAGCTTTAATACCCTATCTGTCGTAATCTTATCAGGAACATATGTGTAGGTAAAGCTATCTCTAAAACGAGTCTGAAAATTATATAAAATATTTTTGCAACTTTTTTTATACTTATTTAAGAATCGAAAAGAGTATATAGGCTAGATGCAAGATCCCTCTTGCTGTGCTACTGTCTTTTCGTATGAATGTAAGCCATATCGAAACTTTTTGTCTTTGAAAATTTTGAAGGTAGCGCTGTGCAAGTGGGCTTACTTCAGCCTCCCTGTTGAGATTTACTAAAAATGGCACAACTCTTTTTGAACAGTGAACGCGCAATATTCTTACTCGTTTACCATTTCTCTCGAAGATTAATCAGACCCCCCTCGCATGTGTTAAGTAAATTATGATATTTGATATTTTTGTTTGTGGTTGGAAGATTGTGTTTGCCTTATTCATATTTGTGTTTTAACCATTTTTATACTCATCATATTGCCAATCATCTTGCTATCTCGTATAGCGCCTATTACTCATTTTCAATTTACAAAATGAGATAAACGCGTCTATTTTTAGAGATTTCTTTTTTCCAGTGTACTTAATCTTATTAATCGCGTTTTGCTTTGTTGAAGAAATAAATATTTTCAATTCTGTGAACCGATGTAGAACAAATATATATATGAATATATTTAAATTTAGATTGTTGCATGTTTCAGTTCCATCAACGCCTGGAATTTTCATGGCTTGTAGTTGTTGTTGTTTATGGGTTAAGTTTTTTGACAGTTTGCTTGAATGTTGGCTTTTTGCTGGGGCCAATAAATGGAAAACTTTGTAGCGCTTGCCTTGCCTTGGCTTTGGTTGCATGTGCAACAGATTTGTAGCTGTCATGCAGCTGCCGGTGCTGCTGCTGTTCCTGTCGAGATGATGCTGCGAGCACAACAACAATAATCACCTCTACGTGCCTGGCTGCCACAAATTGTGGCATGCACTGACCCACGTCGCTATTGGCCATTTCCTTCCATTTGGCCCTGCGTAAAAGTCTAATTTTGTTTCGTTTTTCTGTGTCTTGAATTGAATTTTATGTTTCAGACTTAACGATTCCAAAAGGAAATTGTTCGGAGAAAATGTCGCACATTTTCTTTTTATTGTGCAATCCTAGAGCAGATCTGGGCACGAAGAGAAACCTTGTTTTAGGCTGCGAATTTATTGTCAGAGTTTTTCCTTGTTGAAATGTGAAGAATTTCTGTCTACGCATATTTCAGTTTTTATTGTGAAATCCTTAGGACTAGCTGTGCACTGAGAGAAAAGGTGTGTTGGAACAGCGATAGAATTTATAACTGAATATTTGCCTTGAAGTGTGAGGTTTATTGGTATATATCATAGATCATAAATTATATATCATAGATATTGAAAGCTCATAGATATCTCTGATGTCAAGTTAATTTTAATTTAAAAAAAAAAATATTTATTTTTTAATCAAAATTGATTACAGATATTATAAGAATCTGTTGAGATATTCAAAAAATTTGCTTTCAAGTATAGAGTTTCTTTTAAAAAACTCTTTAGTTATTTGCCAAGTGCTTGCTCTGCTGCAGCTTGCTAACTTAATTTTTGATTTATGCTGCAGCTAAACGCTTTTTGCTCTGTGACCTTTGCGAACGGGTGGGAAAGTCAAGTGGCTTTCCATCTCAATTGTTTTGCCATTGCAAACGCAAGAACTTAATTGCAAAAACTGCTTAAGCAAACAAAAACAAACCATGACAACAGCAAATTCTTGGCTAGAAGCCAACAAAAAAAACTGAAATGAATGCAGTCAAAAATATGAGGAAATATATTTTCTACCATTTGCAGTTGCTGGAGACGAAGTTGGCGGATGGGGGCGTGGTGGTGTGGCAGTGGGGTGTATCTGCTCATTAAAAATTCAAACTGTGCAACGTACGCAAATTGAAAATTGTTCACTATTTGGGGCAACAAACGAT